TTCCGCAATAACGGTTGTCATTTTAGAGACCTTGCTTGGGTCAAATTAATTGCTAGGGTACTTTTTAACATCTGCGTGTTCGCATCTTCATTAAACGAGATATTTTGGACTTCTGATTTCTTTATTATTAAAAAAGAAGGCTTTCCGGAATGCTGCCGATGATTTTGGCATCTCTCGACATCTTGCTATGTCCATACGCCGAAAAGTGGTAGCCGGATTTTTGAATTTCCCCATGCATTGTGTTTTTTCGGCATTGCTTGATCCTCACTTCTAAAGAAATGTCCGATTCCCAAAACATGTAGTTCTTTGCGTCGCTCTGGATATAAAGTTTGGTCTTCGCAAGGAGGATTGTTCTAATTGGTGTTATATTTGCGCGAGACCTTTGATGTAAGGAATATTGAGTGTAGCTTCTTTACCTTTCTTTGCAGTTTCAACTCTTCTTGTTTAGTATCTTCTTCTTTCTGGAACTCTGTATACAAATTTAGATGAATACAAACTTTAACACCTCTTCTAAATTATATAAGATTAGCGCTCTATCCACTAGGGTGTAATGTTTAAAAAATAAATTGAAATACTACAATACTACAATAATAAATTGTAAGTGTAAAATGTAATTAAAAAAGAGAATATGAATATTGGGAACAACAATATTAATGTATTAAATGTAAAGTGTGAATGGAGTATATGACAAGAAAGATTGCTGGCTATAACATTTGCATCTTAAGCGTGGCAATTCCGTCCGGCCTCTGGTAGCTTCAATCGTGACCTCCGAAATAAGAGAGATCATGCTCGTTTTTCTAAAAGCTAAGTGTCGAGTATTCTCCACTCCTAATTCGTGGTCTGAGTATAGACTGACCAATGCTAATTACAAGAAACTTGTTAGAGAAACTAAATCCAAGGCATATTCCGACCCACCAACATGTGTAAAAGCTGTTGTGCTTTATTTTATAATGAAAATAATCGATCTTCTCTCGGTCTCGGTCGTCTTTCTTTTTAAACCCATTCGCTGAAGGCAAAGTCTACGACATTATTATGAACCTAAGTAATTCAAGTTCCACTCACCGCTTCGGTTTTAATTCAAAAATACTAAAACAAACCATAAAGTAATTTGTAGTGACAGCGTCCTACCTGTGAAGTGCGGTGTTCCACTCGGTTCTTGAACCGCTGTTATTTATTATTTATATAAACGATTTGCCGCTGTTTGTCCCCAGTGATAGCATTACCCTGTTCGCGGACGATACTGACATTTTGTTAAATGCAAATATTTTGCAACAATGGTTTTCGTGCAAAGGATTTAGCACTTACTGAACTAAAAACCCAAAAACTTATGTTCTAAGGGAAAGTGGACGTTCTAAATCAAAACAACACCAATCTCTTGGGGTTTTTTATGTATAGAACTCTATCCTCGACAGGCCATATTGACAAAGTTTCTGCAACACTATCTCGGAGCCTATCCTTACTGAGGCGTCTTAGCTATTATCTAACTCCTGCGGCTCTCCGAATAGCCTACTTTGACTTGTTACACAGCGTAATTTTCTATGCTATAGTACTTTGGGGCGGGGGTAGATATTCGGAAAAAAAAATTTACACGCTTACCTTGCCTTCTATATACATATAGCGATCTGTTATAGATTTACGTGAAAACATTGATTTCTATCCAGTAATCATGAATAAGCACAACCACAATACCAAGCAACCTGATAATATGCTATAATGAACTTTCGTATTTTGTGTACTTCCCATTATTACATTTGTCTGCAATATAATAGTTATTAGTTACTTCTCAGTATTATTGCATCAATGTTTGGTTATTTTGGACATACCGTTTGTTGTTTTATAACTTAATAAAGTTCTATTATATTCTTTTCTATTCTATTCTAATTCCCAGGTACATTTTTAATTGAGCTAAGGGTTTGTTAATACTCGTATCTATATGGAATATTTCTATTGCATTATGTTAGGGTATATTAAAAGCTATAACATATCCCTCTTGACGGTATATTTACAACAACTAAAGTTTACTAAAGCCACCAAATTTCGATAATCGCTTAAATTATTTGTAGACTTATACTACGCCAAAGATATCTATGGAGGAATTGTTATGTAATCATGCTTGATAATCTCAACCAGCACCTTTAAACCCACAATCTCTCAGAAACTTGTGTTTTTATTAGATACATTTTTACTTTAGGAACATGAAATATTTAAATATCCCTAACTCATACCTCTAAACAGTGATTGAAAGTCTGATTTCAAGAGAACTAAATGTAACTAAATATAACTAAAATAAATTACAGTGTATATATAACTAAATAATATAACTAAATAAAAAGATAACCCTAACTTGCTTATAGAAAAATAATATAGTTATTTCTAGTATTAACAAAAAGGTAACAAACACGCATGTAATTGGTAATAATATTATATATTATGTGTAAATCAATTCGATTATATTTTTGTTCGGTTTTTAGTAATTTGAATATCATTTGCGAAATTTAAGATATCTACTTATTTGCATAGTCTAGTTGTGCTGTACTATTTTAATGCTCTACTACAAATTATTCATATAGAGATTGGATTTACTTATAAATTGAGATATTGAAAACATCTATAGTTTATTTTTTGAACAACGGCAACATTTCTAATATTCATTGTATTGACATTCTTAATTCAAGTAAAATTGCACTCTTGGCAAAAAATATACATGATTTTGAAAAATATATCTACCATTAAACAGCGTATTAGTAACAGGAGATCATTCCAAATGCCCCTAAGAAAATTATTACTAATAATTTGTTATGACAAATCTTATCCAAAATCACACTTAAGTTTTCAGTTGAAGAAAATCTTGTGTTTGATAACTCCATAACTAAACTTTCTTGACACGATTGACTTTTTTCACTATTCTATGCACCGATACAAGCGAATAATTGATACGAGTAGAATAAAAATTATTACACAATGCAGTTGAAATTGCATCTTTCCCTCAATATGTGGAATTAAATTCCTTTAATTAATTGCACCCTCCAACCTACTCCGTGTGCTAGTGTAATATTTATGTAAAGTATTTGCTGTCATTTTTGTGTCGAATAACAACGAAATCTTTTGGTATCTCCTCTCAAAACCAAGACAATAACGTGAAGCTGCCTCAACCTACTGTTGCGGGTACTTTTCATCCGAAGTTCCTTTTTAATATTCACTTTTGATGTGAAACAAAGCAGCGCGGTTAAAACGCCAGAAATGTGAACTGATACATTCGCAATTCGCAATACGGAAAATGTTACAAAAAGATTCCGAAACAAAAAAAAATGCTCGTAAATCCTATTGGTCAAGGTTAGATCCTCAAGGGTGCAAGTTAAGTTATGTAATACTATTATCTAAAATTATTCAATTTTTTTGTTGCTTTGTGTCATTAAGTGCCCTGTGACTCGGTTAGTAAGGTTTGCCAAATGAAACTCCTGAGATACTAAAGATAATGTTTAATATACTATTCCAATCGTGTTATTAAATTTGAATCGGGTCAGTTAGGAACTTAGGACCGTTTGGAATACTGTTACTTTGTAACCTTGTAAATTCAAATTGATCACACAATTTCAAAAATACTTCTTGATTGTACTATGATTCCGAAATAAATAAATAAATTTGGACGAGCGTAGCTCCATTATGAAAAGGTTGTAATTTTTACCTCAATATTTACATGAAGAGAATATACCCGATATATTATCTGTCTCATATTAGCGTTGACGTCAGAACTCAACAAAATTTTTTCAATTTAAAAAATTTTTTCAATTATCCTTTTTATAGATAAGCGTTACCGCAATTTTGGCAAGCTACGACAGCCGTCATCGTTGTTATTTTAACGTTTGATTTATATTAGCAGCAATATATCACAAGAATTAGTAGTCCAGGAAGTTGGGAATAATTCTTTTAGTCGAACGAAATTTCTGAAAATGTATATGTATTATAATATAGTAAAAAAAACTTCGCAAACTTGAATTAGAATATAATATAGATTTCAGAGGCCACTCTTTACGGTGCTTCGATTAAATAATCACGCAGATTATTGTTTTAACCTTTTGATTAAAAACACGCTTTTTCACGTCCATTTGTCAAAGTAGGCTCTGATGCAACAAATGGGAAGATATTTGACAAAAAAATCGTTAAAAATGAAGTGAAGTATAAAAGTTTAAAATTAAACTCATTGCTCATTGGGGGCCTGTATTAACTTTGGTCTAAACTAAGTTTAATCAAACTTAATGAAAGAGAGACAATTTGGGCAAATACTTAACAAAAATACGACCCACATACTGAGCAAGCCATAAACAGGTTTAAAAATATCAAAGCCACAGGAATTTCAAGTATTTAAAACGTGCTAGGAAATCCCAACACGTGTCAAATATACGCTGAAATTATTTTAGGAGAGAGAGGAGGGGAGATTATTGTTTCATTATTAAAAAGCTATAGGGTAATTTACTTACAGTACTTTGAAAATTAATTAGTTATTTACAAAAAGACCTGTGAATGTTACAGAAGCCTACGCCAATTGGTGCTCGATTTCTTGCAATCCTAGGAGAACGTGGGCAACTGTGGAACGTTATGGATCAATTGGAATAAAGAAACCTATCAAAGTCATTTTGCTAACAACCACTCGTTCAAACTAACCAAAACTTAGTTTTATTTTAGGAATTTTGTTACTTCGGTAATTCGTGTTAACAAAAGATAAAAAGTTTCGAGATCATATTTAAAGCAATCAGGTCATATCTGTTTTAAAAATTGTGAATTTAATTTTTTTTATTTTTATTTAAATTTATTTAAATTAAAATTTAATTATCTAGAAGAAAGTCACCGAAAGTCATCTATAACCCTTATTTTACACCTACTCTAAAAAATGTAGGCTTTAAATCAAAATGTATCAAATCCGCTCGACTATTGGTTTCTAATGCGTAGCTTTCTGAATCGCCCATAATATAAATACAGGTGCGTATATGGCGCAGTGTTATACTACTACTTACGTTTATGCAAAAATGGCTTCTCCAAAGATGTTGGTTTTCTTGTTGATGGTCGCGACGCTTTTGTGCCACGAAGTAAACGGCGAGTAAGTTTTTAAATTGTGTCTAACTCGTAACTAAGTTTTAAAAAACTAAGCAAATTTATTAAAATTCCTAAAGAAAAGAGAAAATAAAATATCGTTATTAACTTAACTTTTAGAATGATCATTCCACCTGTATTTATTCTTATTTCTTTGCTTTTCTTTTAAGATTCAATTATAATTTGCCATAATATTATAATTTATAAATCATAAAGCTTAGCCCAAATTGGTGGATTTCAGATTTCAAAAGAAAATCGCTTTAAACATTTAAGATGGCGGATACCCGATGCTTGTGAAATTATTTTCTGCCGTCTTATTAAACTTATTAAACAAAGCTAATAAATATTTTATTACAAGGCACATGGGGCAGCTTGCAGACAAGGAGGAAATGATCGATTTTGATGCGTAAGTTTCTTTTTATTTGTTTTTTATTTGCAAATAAATTTATGCGGATTTGGGTTGTGAATTGTTTGTGGACCGATTAACTGTTCCGCGTTTTTATAACGTTGTTGCTTCGAAAATGTTACAGGAGTGGGGCACGACTTCACCACGTAAAAATCGACGATGATGCCGACATTCTAGCTTCCGACAGGGATATACTAGGATAATAGACTCCGAGTATATCACATGGAAACTTATGTTGAAAATATTATAATAACATAAGCACACTTTTGGGTTTTTTATTTTAAAATAAATATTTATAATAATTTGAAAAAAAAACACTTGTTATATAGCACTGAGAATTAAGAAAGGAGGAAAAAATGAGACAACGTTCAAAAACCGGTGCATCGAGAAAATTGGGAACGAAATCTTTAACTATAAAAAAAGCGTTGACATTCAATTGAAGGAACCTGTAGCAAGTATAGGATCGACCATTCAATTTTTACAAATATTTCTGGAGATTAAGAAAACATAATTACTATAAAATGCGCGGCATTAAGGATTTAAAAAAAGTGTTTCATTTTTACATCTGGCTAAAATGTATATAATTATTTATAAATAATTAATGGGCTTTTCTCGTTGTCTCCCAGTTTTTGAGATTTTTTTCTTCCTCTATAGTATTAAATATTAAGATAATACATTATTTAAGAAAAAATATGTATTTACTGAATACGCTATAAATCATTACATATTAAATATTAAACAGGGATCGTTAAAGAGTGTTAGGTTATTTTCTGGAGTTCTGGTCTTGGTCCTTGTTGCCGTATACTCTTCATCAGCTACCACCAACATGATCATCACCAGATAGTGCTAAAGTTAAGAAACTCAGTCGAAAAACATGAAAACACAAAAATAGCGCCACCATTCCGTGCCCTCTAAAACTGTTTCCAGATCGGAAGGTCATAAAAGAAATTACGCTAATATCGGTTAAATATGGCGACCCGTTTAAATACGTATCTATTTATTATAGCTTAATTATGGACGACTTACTAATTTTTTTTAAATCAGATAACCAATTTGGGTTCACTAATGGACATAGCTCGAGCGATGCAATGCTGGAGCTAGTGTCTTATGTGGCTGATGAGATCAATGAGAACAATAAATGTATCGTTGTGTTTCTGGACTTGGCCAATGCGTTCGACACAGTGCCGCACATGTTTTTGAACGCAATGGAATTAGAGGCACTACGATGAGGGTTTTTAAAAGCTGCCTGGCAAGTAGGGTGCAAAATACAAGAATTCAGGATGCAATAAGCGAACCTGAAATTATGCATATAGGCATACCGCAGGGCACAGTACTGGGACCGACAGTCTTCAATCTGTATATTAAGAGATTAACATTATTAAATATAAAAGGAACAGTTGTCTCATTCGCCGATGATACTGTTTTGCTCTTTAGCAGTGATAGCTGGGATGGGGCGAGAGCCCGGGCAATCGGCGAACTTCACAGGGTAAAAGAATGGTTAGACTGCAACAGACTCTGTTTAATTGTAGATAAAACTAACTATATGCCTTTTTCAAAAACAATTGTTGTTCGTCCTACTTTTACAAGTATACATGTTGAAAATTTAAATGAACTCTAAAATACTTGGGTATTTATATTGATACAAATTTGAAGTGGGAGAGTCACATTAACTTCTTAACAAAAAAGCTAAGGTATTTAATATTCAAATTTTATTTACTGACGCAATGTCTAACTGAGCAACTTCTGTTGATACTATACTATAGTCTCGTAGTCTCGATTTTGCGGTATAGGATAATAGTCTGGGGGGCTGTACAGTACTGGTTTGTGATGTTCGATCGTTATACATTTATATGGTTTGTTGTTATATTTATCAGAATAAAGTCTCTTTAAACCCAATCGATCATCGGGGACTGAACTACATTACGTTATGTTAGTTTATATAATAAGGGAACAGGGTAATATAGAGTGTTAACATAATTATTATCTTATTTTTAAGGAAGCGCATACGGGTTCTTAGAAACCGAGGCGCAACCAAAAATGAAGTGTATGTAAGACTCCTTGGACTTGAAATCTATTTGTACTTGTTAACCCAGCATGTTAAATTGAATTAAATTCGACAGTGGACCCTACGGGCGCCGTCTTACAACGTAACAAACATTACGTGTTTTTTCAAGAATTTTAACTGAAGATGTTAGTATTATTTTCAAAACGCGGTGATCATTGTAATAAGATCTGAGAAAAAAACCAAAACCAGAAAACTACAACTCCATAATCTGATTGATATGTAGGTAACTTTTAAAATGCCAGGACAGGTAGACTTAAAAAAAGGGCTGAAAGTTGTATTTTAAAAATCAAAAAAGAGTTCTTCAAACGTTTTTTACAACCTTTTATGGTTTTGACTTTGGAACGAGTATAAGACTCGCCTGATGTAAAGCCGAAGAGACCATTCCTTTCAGCGCTTGTACCACAAACCAGGGCCCTTTGTTTATTATGATTGTTTTATTTTAAGAGTCGGGAAATTTTCTTTGATTAAACTGTTATATTAATACATATTAGTGTGCTTTTTATAAATCTTCCTAAAACAGTCCCTACCTGACGTAGCTCGATTTCAAATTGATTTGCCCATTACATAGGTTGATCTCGTATTTTAAAAACACATACAAAATCTTATGTAGATAATTGAATTATAATGTTCTCCCAGTTTGCTATTGGTTGATTTGTGGGGATTGCTAAAGTCGGAGTATGTTGTATATGCCCTTTAAATTCTTTATTACACCTTGATAAACAAGGAAAATAAATTTTTATACATTTTTAAACGATATCAAAATATAACAGATTTTAGAATTTCTGAGCCAATAAACATATTCCAAGGAATGGAAATGCCATTAAATAAAACACAATAAAATAACTTCAAACATTAAATAATGATAATGTATTTTTCTACTCCATTCTATAAAATACCTAATTAGACACCGATCCAGCGAGAGAAGAGTGTCATTTTACCACATCAGTTTCATTTTCCACGGATCCGAGTCACTTCGAATATTACCGCACGGGTTTGGGAGCAATCGGAGATTTTCGGAGGTATTACCGCAAGGTTTGAATTTTAACGTTTGTCAATTCTGACGGACCCAAAAACATTGTTTATTTTGACTGACTCATATGCCGTCTACTTACACTTGTTGCATAATATACTATTACAATACAAAAGTAAATATCATAAATAGTATATTATACAACAAGTGTAGTAAACGGTATTAAACTCGTACATTTTTGCAAACCAACACGATTATGTTTACTGGCATGACCGTCAGAATTGACAAACGTCAAAAATCAAGTAATATCTGCGAAAACTTCCTATTACTCCCAATCCTGTGGATATGCGGGAACGACTTGGTAAAATGACACTTCTTGCATGCTAGATCAGTAGATAGTTAGATAATTAGCAGATAATTAGAGAAGGGAGTAGAAAAAAATTGTTGCAATGGTTATAGCGACAGAAATGTATATTCAACGTGTGATACAAAGAAAATATCAATTCAACATAAACGAAATATGCAAAAAAAAATAACACTGAAAGGAGAACGGAAACATTTGATAAAGTATTATAAAAAAATAAATAGGACACACTATATTAAAACACTTACATCAAAGTAATACACAATATTAACATTAACAGCATGCATTTTGTATGTTCTTATAATGTCCATGTCTCAATTGCTGTGTGCTTCTTCTGTATTTTACATGTTTGAAAATAAGAAGCTGTATACAATTATCTAATATATATATATGAATATTGTGATCATTACAAAATTTATGTATTTCGTGTTCACATTGTTGCTCAATTTCATCTAGAAATTTAAAAACAATTTCATGAAAATAAAGACCTGGTTCAATAAAATTTTCGTTTGCATAATTTAAGTTGTTATGGTAATTTATATTGTACAAAAAGGTGTTGTTTTTCAATATCACGTGAGAAAAGGTGGGTATGGCATATATAATATTTAGGTATTATTTTTGAAAGTAAATAGACAGCAACATATGCAGCAGCAAATTGATCACTACTTCCACCCTCTATGAGATACGTGAGTTTGATTATCTATACATTTTTATTGGGTACTTAATTCTCAAAATAACCCTATTCACAATTGTCAACAATTACTTAAGTTATTGAGTGCAGCAGTTTTCAACGCTGCTAGGAATTCCAACACCATGGATTGTGAAATTAAACAAAACAGATTTTCGAAAGGATCTTTCATGGGTAAAAATGTAAATGCACATACAAATATAGAACGTTAAAGTTATCGAATTCTAACCAAGATCCGCCATCTGTTTTTTGGGCATTCAAGGTAGTATTCAAATCTATGCCTGAAATAGTCATGGGGGAAAGAGCACAAAAAGCATCAATAGCCACAGTTAATACAATGTCATTTTAAGTACAATTAATATTAGTTATATGGCCTACTAAATCAGCCATTATTTTTCAATAAACAGTACACTATGTTTTAACAATGGCAATGTTTCAGTATTACAGCTATAATATGCACAATTCTATTACTTATTTCGTTTGCTGGGTCATTGCTTACAAAAAGTTTAAATACACCAAAAGTGAAGGAGACTGGGAAGAATATAAAAGAAAAAGAAATAACGTTATTTCAGTTATCAGAAATGAAAAACAAAGATACTATAACCAAAAAATTGATGATTGCAAGGGAAATGGAAAGAAAATGTGGCAGACATTAAAAGGACTTGTTGGAAATAAAAATAAAAAAGCAGATTTTACCAATATTGATTTTGGACATTACAGTAACAAAGAAGAAGAAAACATGAATAACTTTTATGCCGATAGCTTAAATGAAATAGCAGAGAGTATAGAAAAGAAGCAATGGCACTCTGTGTGTGACATGGTCAGCTGTGGCTTGTCTTGCTTTAAAAACATAACGATATCGGAGCTTGAAAAAACTGTAAATAACCTAAAAAATAGAAGTACAAGTGACACTGTTCTAAATATTAAGCTCGTCAAGGATTTATTTTATGTAATAGGTTATCTGTTATTATATTTGGTGAATGAGTCTTTAAGTGCCGGAAAAATCCCTGATAAACTAAAAACAAGCATCATAGTGCCCATACCTAAAGTGACAAAACCGAAAACACCTGGTGATTTTCGACCAATTAATTTGCTGCCAGTAGTGGATAAAATCCTGGATAGTGTGTGGGCAGTTAAGAGACTACCTGGAGCGGAACTGCCTACTCTACAGTGGACAGTCTGGTTTCAGAAGCAAACACTCGTGCGAGTCTGCGTTGTAATATATGTGTGCAGTGTGGCGGAAAGACATGAATGAATCAAAACTAATTCTGAGTGTTTTTGTAGATTTTAAACGTGCATTTGAGACTATTGACAGGGACATTCTTATTACAAAATTTGGTTTATATGGTATTAAAGACTGCACTAGAATGGATAAAGAACTTTTTATCTGATAGATGTCACCAGACTAAAATTAATAATAATGCTTCTAGTCATAGGGATAGCAGATGGGGGGTACCGCAGGGAAGCGTGTTGGGCCCGCTTTTATTTATTATATATATATATATATATATATATATATATATATATATATATATATATATATATATATATATATATATATATATATATATATATATATATATATATATATGTATCAGGTTTTAAAAAACTCCTTTGTTAACTTATTTGCTGATGACACGCTTATTTCAGTCTCTGGAAACGATTGCGAAGAAATAGCTACCAAACTGAACACCGAAATGCAGTATTTCTACGAATGGTTGGGTCAAAATAAACTGAAATTAAATAGCTCCAAAACCAAGTGCATGGTTATCGGTTCTAAGGATAACTGTCAAAATTTTATAAGTCGGGGTATTCTGTGGATATACAGGGTAATAAAATTGAGTTTGTTTCTGAAATTAAATATTTAGGGGTGATCATTGATCCACAATTATGCTTTAGTAATCACCAAACAATTGGTAAGAAAATAGGGTTTTTTAACCGTGTATCGCGGTTTTTATCGCAGTGGACTAGGATATTAGTATATAATAGTATAATTTTGCCTCATTTTTCCTATGTTTGTTCATTGCTTATATATTGTACAAAAGAAGATTTAAATAAGTTACAGTTACAACAAAATAGGGTTATGAGAATCATCCTTGTGATAGATATACTCCTATAAAGAGTATGTTAGGCCGGCTAAATTGGCTAGATGTCGGGCAGTTCATTAGAAGAGCAAGTTTAATGTTGGTTTATGGAATTGCGCACGATCACCAACCAGGCTATCTTAAATTATGGTTGGAAAAAAGGTCAAACTTTTATCAATATAATATACGCTCCAATCAGCACTTCAATGTTTCTATGGTGTTTGTAATTTTAATGAACTGTCGGATATTATTAAGGGCGTGCCTTGCCCAAGAGTGTTCAAGAAGAGACTTACGGGGTATTTGTGAAGTTTATAGTTTTGTTTATACAAATTTTAATTGCTTATGTAAATAGCCAAGTGCTATTCAACTTGATTTGCACTCTTTATTTATTTGAACCAATAGGATGTCGATAGGCGAAGTCCAAAGTGACAGTACACTTAATTTGCTATTTAGTGTACAGAGTGTCATGACTATAACTTAACTTTTATATATAGTAACTAACTTAACTAATGAGTCCCTATTACACTTCTGATTGACACATATCTGATTTTCTTCTTGAAAGGTAGATATGAATAATAGAACAATTCAGCGCTTTTTATAATATAATGAGATTAAACTGTTTCTATTATTCTATAATTTTTCCATTCTATCATTCTATAAAAGTAAGTTGTGATTTCTAAGCTTCCGCGGGGAACGTTGAAATCTCTTCTTATGGACAATCATACTGGGGCCTAGAACAACAGAAGCAAAAGTTAATCAACTATAAAAATATGAAAAAATAATTTTGGTATTACCTTTAAATCTTTTTTGTTTTTACCTGCGTCTAGAAAGTGCCATTAAAAATGCAACCATATGACAAAAGGTGTAGATTTAATATAAAAGAGATGTAGCTATATTTATCTAAAATTCAGTAAAATCAAAAAAATGTTCTATCGTCAGCATAAGACAGTATATTAGCAAACTTCAAACACTTTTTGACATCATTATGGTAAATAATAAAATGTTAGGCTCCCAGTTGAGAACCCTGAGGTACATCTGATGTTACATTGGAGGACGGAGACCGATAACCAATCACAATCACAACTGATAGTGGCCGGAAATATAGAAAGTCAACTCAGCTTAGAAGATATACATGCACACTGATCTGGGTCAATTAGGATAGTGTGATCAATTTTGTCTAAAGTTTTGCTAAAATATTCGGAATAGGGTAGCAAATTAGATACAATTGAATGTTTCCAGAAAACTACAAAGAATACTCCTGAATCTCGAGAATATACGTATGTTTTGATGCTTAGCCTAGAGGTAGGCTGCAGAGAGTACACGACTCATGCATACTTTTTATCTTGTATCATAAAATTAGAGATTATGGGCAGACTGGAATTGCATTTAGGATGTATTTTGTTCAAATCGCAAACTGCTGTGAACGGTATTCCACAATATATTCGGGAAAACCTTGTGTATTTCGTTATACAACTCATTATTGCGACTCTCCTCACAATAACCGAATTTGCATACCGGCAACCACAAATCGACTCATTGCTAGCACTCTTTTTAATATGAAGCTCCCAAAATATTCAGTTCTGAGACACTTTTAGATTCAAGTCTAAGTGTCAGAATTATCTACTTAATAAATAATATCTTAGGTAATTGTAATTATAGGGTATTAATGATATATAAGACATATTGGTTTATTAAAATTGTAACCTATAAAAAAACGTTCTAAACTGGATCTCACTAAGGATCAGTCTTGTTGCCCCTATGCATTAAGAATGATTTATAGTGACACCGATTTTTTTTTATATTGTTTCGCAAAGAGAACTAAAGTGCTATATGAAAAAAAAACTTATCCCAAGCACTTATTTGCAAAACAACTGTGCAACTAATCTTTCTTGAAGAAATTCTCTTTGTTCACAATTCCATCCATCGATATAAGCGAATCTTTGGATAGCTCGGCATTTTTGAGTCGAATAACAACAACCGAATAGTATATTATGCAACAAGTGCGGTAAACGGCATTTGACTCACGAGTTTATTTGACACGAGTTAAAAAGTTTACCGAACGTGTTGCATACTATACTTTTTCTACGACCGTTTGTTTTTGGGTACATTTTCGCAAAACAACACGAATACATTCACTGACATGACTGTCAGAATTGATAAACGTCAAAATGCAAAGCGTGGGAAATATCTCCGAAAACATCCGATTGCTCCCAAATCCGTGCGGTAAAATCCCGGAAATGTCCGAAGTGACTCGGATTCATGGGAAACAAAACTGACGTGGTAGAAAAGAAACTCCCGTGCGGGAAGCGTCACTTTACCACGTCAGTTTCGTTTCCCATGAATCCGAGCCACTTCGGACATTTCCGGGATTTTACCGCAAGGATGTTTTCGGAGATATTGCCCACGCTTTGAATTTTGACGTTTGTCAATTCTGACAATCATGTCAGTGAATGTATTCGTGTTGTTTGACGAAAATGTATCCAAAAACTAACGGTCGTAGAAAAAGTATAGTATGCAACAAGTTAAGTAAACTTTTTAACTCACTCGTTTATTAAAAACTCGTGAATCAAATGCCGACAGCACTTGTTGCATAATATTCTATTGTGTTTACTCCTAAAACCGTAAAAAATAGATTACTTAGGGTACTTTTACTCCAATGTTCCTATTCAATATTCGTTTTTAAAGTGAAGCTGTTGTTTAAATCGCCACAAGTGTGAACTGATACAATCACATTTCGCAAGACGGAAAATGTTACAAACGGACCCCGAACTAAAAAATTTAGTTAAACACTATTTGTCATATTATTACTGCCCACCGGGAGCCACCTAGGTCCTTTAGTCAAGGATTTCGAAGCGATCAGATGTTTTCTGCAGATTTGATCCATGTAATATAATTTGACGTTTTTCAGTTCTGACGTTACGTCACTCAGTAAGTGTGCAATACTTTAATAATCTTCTTCAGTCAATCGTGACAAATCAAACTCATGACCAAAATGGAAATTATCGAGCTACTACTATTCCAACGCTATTATTAAATTTCGAAGAAAGTTGCCTAATATTAGCATGTCACAGAATTTTGAAATTACTTTTTAATTGTACAAATACTAGAGAATAAAAGCATAATTATTATTGAATTTTTTTTAGGGGTGTAGCCGAGGGTGTAGCTTTGTAATGCTATATTTTTTCAATTTTTGCGCATCGAAAACTTAATATTGCTTAAGAAACTTTTTCAACTTCAAAAAACTATTTAACTACTGTTGTGATGGATATGCGTTACCGTAATTTCGACAAGCTACGATAGCCATCATAGTTGTTATTGTAACGGATGATTTACATTAGCGGTAATATATCAAAAAGAACTAATAGTCCAGAAAGTTGGGAATAAATGATTTGATCTGCCGATCCCTTTGGTGAAATTATTAGGATTCAGCCCAATTTAGTTTATTCAAACAGTTGATACTAACTAAGATATAGGAGCGCATTTAACTTCACATTCAAACACGATTTGTTAAAAACGAATTATGAAAAGTTGTATCAACATTTGATCTAAATTAAATTTAGCCAAACTTAATATTTTTGCCCAATGCGTGTGTAGTTTTACCTTGTAGCATTAATTATGAGACAATCCCTATAAGAGCAGTTCGTAAGAAGGAAAAAGCAGATGATGTATGATTTTGTCCCAAATCTCATCGACTATTGCTTTCCGACACGTCACCCGATACCAACTAATTTGGAAAATTTTTAAAAAACACTGTTGTTTTCCAAATGAATCGGCCGTAATATAAATAGAGGAGCGTATATGGCGCAATATTATACTACTACTTAGCAAGGTGTTGAAATGGCTTCTCAAAAGTTGTTGGTTCTCCTGCTGTTGGTGGCGCTTGTATATCATGAGGTGAACGGCGCGTAAGTTTTTAATTGCCTCGTTTTTCATCAAGTTTAAAACCACTAAAGAAATTTATCTGTTGTTATAGTATTTCGTATTTTCATTCAAACCCCAAAGTTCTTTCTTGTTAGCATTCTTTTTGACAAGGTTTCACATGTTCTTGGCTTATTTACTTCAAAAGAGTTAAGAAACTCTGAAACTGATCATCCAAATTACTCGTTTTGGTAGCCCTGTATAAAAGCAATAAAGTGTAGAAGAAACGCGTATTTCTGTACAAAATAGAGATGTATTATAGCATTGTGATGGCCATGAAAAAGTTTTTAATTGTTTCGTTTTTCATCAAGTTCAAAACCACTAAACAAATTTATCTGTTATCTAAAACACAAAAATAATCCCAGTTAGGATTTTTTACATGTAAACCAGTAGCATAGCCAAATTTTGTTTATTGTTTTTGAAATATTGGTGCACTTCTTTATGAAACGCCCTATATACAAGACAGTCCCCTACGGTGGGGTCCTTCTAAATATAATAAGATTTTAATTCATCCGAAAATTTTCAATAAAAAAATTGTTTGTATGAAAATAGTTGGTATTTTATTTTATTGCATTTTTGGTTTCTGGTTTTTTTGATACCTTTACTAATTGAAAAATTTGGAAAAATCTGACATTATTTTAGACAATGCGGCTTTTAATCATTAACCAAATGGATCGTCTTTGAATTACAGTTAGTCCAAAATTTACCAACCAATTACATCATTTCCAAAGATAGAAAACTTCACGATGTATCGTTCTAGTTCTATATGGATTGATTATGTCTTTTCCTTTCATAGTATTTCGTATTTTCATTAAAACCTCAAAGTTTTTTCTACTTAGCATTTTTTTTAACAAGGTTTCACATGTTCTTGATTTATTTACTTAAAAAGAGTTAAGGAAATTGTGAAAGGGTAATGAATTGAACGAATTGCAAATCATATCAAGTGATCTAAGTGGTTAATTCTAGAGCTTCCGAACTCCTTAGTAATAAACTACGAGTATACTAACTATAAAGAATTCTTTTCATATTAATTTCAAGAGGACTATGCAGACGATTACCACGGGCCAAAATATTAGGTGCTATAAGATACATATTTTGTGTAGTGGGCATAATTTTGGTATTACAACTTTGGTTTTTAAAATTTTTTGATAACATTAACCGTGAAGATAAAAATGAATCGCTCAACCTGTATATCAAAATGTACATTTTTTAAATGAACAGCTGTAACGCCTAAAGAATTTTAACATGCTTGCTCTCGTTGGAGCTGCTCCTTCAAATCCATTTAACCGAATTCTTAGTAATGCCGCTAGAATACTTTTTTTATATAAATTAATAGAAAATTAAAATTCTCTAAAGAATTAAATTTAACCATATGACCTATTTTTTTATAAATTTATGGTGAAATTTTACCTCAACAGTCTAGGAAAACCGCATCCTGATATGTTATTGCTGGCCTAAAAGTGAAAATATTTTTGGTAAATCTTATTAAATTTATTAAACAAAGCTAATAAATATTTTATTACAAGGGATGTGGTACAGCTGGACGACAAGAAGGACATCGTCGATTTATCTGAGTAAGTTTCTGTTTATTTGTTTCTTATTCGCAATTTTATTTATGGGGGTTTGCGTTGTGAATTGTTTGTTGGCCAATTAAATGTTTCGCGTTTTTATAACGTCGTTGCTTTGATAATGTTACAGTAAGGGAGGACGACTTGACCAAGTAAAAATCGTCGATGATGCCGACATTCTAGCTTCCAGCAGGGATAAATTTGGAAAATAGACCCCGAGCATATTATATTCAAACAATATATTATAACATGAGCACAGTTTCGGTTTTTTTATTTTACTTTGAAATAGACCCAAAGTGAGGCAGACGGATAAACGGCGAAGTTTTAATCAATACATGGAAAACTCTTGTTATGCAGGGTTGACAATTTAGAAAGGAAGTTTAATAAATGTTCAACAACTTAATTATGTCACAACTTTAAACAAAAGCGTTTTAACACCGAATTGAAAAGAAACAAAGCAAGAAAACAACCTACTCCAACCGAAATTTTTATTATTTCTTATTATTGCCATAAACTGAACGGAATTAAGAATTTCAAAAAGTAATTTATTTTAAGCTATGACTGAAATAATATATAATAATAATGTACATATTGTCTAACAACAGTCATAACAACAATTATTTTCACGACAATATGCTTTGCCAAAATTCGGTTTCTCAGTGGTGTTTAAGCCTCCTATGAAATAAAACAGTATTAAAGTTTATATTCTATATCTACACCTGTGGCTACCTATACCTACACCTGGAATATAACAAAGAACAGGAAAGCAACATACCTGTTAACCGTCAGTGCACGCTATATTATAAAAATGCGATCATAAATTCTGCTTTCAAGGAGAGGAAAAAGACCAACGACGTCAAAAAAAACTGCCATATGAAATTTCCGTCTCGTATACACTGTAAGGGGATATGCGATTAATCAACAGCAAGCATGTATTTTGAACAATTTGTGTTCGCCTTTTCTCAATTGCGTCCAAACATGTGACAGCACAAACCATCGTTTTAGTTTTGGAAGAAAGGCGGAGTCTGTTTATTCACTCTCCAAAAATCAAATATCCTTCTCAAATCTGCATTAATTCGAGAATTGGCCTACTGCATTTCCATGCTCCTAATTGAAAAATATATTTCTATATCATTTGCGTACATATACTAGTATACTCCCCAGAGGCACACTCAGCTATATGTTTTTTAAAGATGACATTAACCATCTTCAAAACCTTAAAAAAAACTCGCTAATACCCTTTCAGGGTATCCGGCGTGAATATCAGAGGGTCTAGTATACTGCCCTGGGATACCCCAGCTGTGGGTTTTTTAACTGTCTTTGGAACGGGTATAACTTGAGCATTTTTTCCCGATTATTTTTGAGATTTCACTCTCGGCCACCGATTTAAATTCAAAAGCCTCACTCTGGGCTAGATGCCGTACTATTTTAACGAGATTGGGAGAATAGTTACTGATTTCTATGACATTTGATAGGTTGGTAAAATCTTTCGTTCACTCCTAATTATTTCAAGATTCTGATGATTTCTAAATAATTGGCTCAATGTTATCCAGTTTTTGAGGTTTTTTTTTTTCATTGCCATAATTAAATATTAAAATAAAACCTGAACTAAGAAAAAATATTCATTTACTAGACACACTATAAATCATTACACATTAACAATGAAATATTGGATCCCGTCCTAACTGAACTATTAAAGATTGTCAAGTTATATTTACGGTTTCTGGTCTTGGTCCCTCTTGATGCCAGAGTCTATATAGGCACAAGCAAAAGAATTATGTAAAGAAAAAACAGCACGCTACGTGTTTCGTCAAAATATTCCATATAGAACTAAGCAAAACCCGATCAAGTCCTGGACTTGACCTTCACCTGTTAGAGTAAGCAACCAATAAAACAATGATTTTATTCTACCTTCCTAGAAGCTCGTCAACTGTACAAAAACATTGTACATTTGACCCGTTTTTGTTTCGGACCCCCAAACTGTTTAAGAAGATGAAGATTTCTTCAAAAGCAGTTATTGCATTTTAACAGTTCTGACAAATAAAACTGGCTTTGAATCTTTATCAGCTATTGGTTTCTAGGTACATTTTTCCAAAAAACACGAATATATTCAGTGAATAACATGTGAGGTGGCTATCACGAATTAACAAAAGAGTAATGGGATCTTTTAGAACCGCGAGTGACGCCTCTATGTCTCTATGTCTTTATGTATCTACTAGTTATATGGAATAAATACGTACAACTCTTGAAATTGTCCTTTTATTCCACCGCATCTGCCGAAACATATAAAATTATAAATTAGATCTCATAAATGGCTTCAAATAGAGATGAAACGATTCGTTAACGGGTTCTGAATTTAGCATACTCTTCCGAGCTTCGGTGTAAAGCCTTTCGTAGACGTTTCCGTCGTACGACCCCAACGCAGAAGCCAAAATTTCATCGCGAATATCGAAACTGTCCACTATACCGACGGCGTTGGGTCTGATAACAGCTAGTAAATCTTCCAACCACGCCTGAAGTGTTATAAGGTGCCGTTCCGATATATCTGCAAACTACGAAAATGGATCTTTACCTTACCGTTAATTATAAGTGAAGACGAGATGACATTTCCTACGAAGGCGAATTTATTTTTTCCATAATGTATTTTTTATAATAAACAATTACGGTGTCTAATAAAGTTTTTATTGTGGTCAATGTGATATTGAGTGGAAACAAAGTGCATTTTTTTTACTTTACATCTCGCTAAAATAGACTTTAGCAATTAGTATTTTTGGATGGATAGATTTAGATAATATTGTTTTGATAATAATTTTTGCTTCGGCTTTTAAAAAAAAACACCGCTTGTAATTTAAATATAACAGCTATGATTATCAAAGTTGGGACCCCTGGTGCTCAATCTCTTCATCAACGGTAAAAGCCATATAGAAGAAGAAGCATTAATGTAAACTTATATATGCTAACGCTCTTAAACTTTAATGAAAAATAAGAACACATAATAACTATATTAATTATTATTCTAGAACAGTTATTTATTATCCGTACGAAATCTCTCTAAACAACTAACATTTAACTGGCCAATAATGGCAAACAATTTTATTGTTCTATGAAATTTAAATGCCTAGACGATTTCTAAACCTAAAAAGCTATTTATATAGGCAGAACAAACTCTGAACTTTAATAGCAGGATATTGTTCCATAGAAACAACAATTCCAAAATACTCCTTGTGGTTAACTCTCCTTTATGCTTGCCAAGTCGACTTATGTAGGGCTAAATATCGATTTATTTTACTGTAAGTTGAAACATATTAAATCTCCTTTTTATAGAAATAGCAATAGAAATTTGGTTACAGCAAATAAATAAATAAATGAAATAATAATAAGTACTACTATTATGTCCTAGAAACTAATACGTACCCTCAATAGCGACCCTTTCAGTTTAAGTGCCGTAGAGACTGCGTACAGTTCATCCAATTGATTGAGTACACTTTTCAAAGCGGCAGAAACAGATAGCTTGCCGACTCTCTCATGAAAAGCTTCAACAATAAATGATCTGCCGTAATGGTCTGCCGCCTCCACCAGGTCAATTGAGGTGTTGTTCCACGCATCTTCTTTGGTTTGACCACTAGCCATTCTATCTCTTAGGCCCTGGTCTGCTCTTGTTATGAGACTAATTGATGTAAATGACACAAGTTACAAATTGCCTTTTATACTAATACTACGACTACAACTATCGCTACTACTAATACTGATTCTACTCCTCCTAGTTTTATTGTTTCCTAGATAATACAATTTAATTCCAGATCTACATTGAAGAATGGTTTAGAATAGTAAAGGCATCTTCAACACAATTCAATAATTCTTTTCTAATTTGCACAGCAATGAAAAATCTGTTTTAAGCAATGAACATACAACAAGAAAGTAACAAACAAGTTGTTGAAAACAGACCTAGGTAAAGGCATAAAATTAAATTTTTCATCTCACCATAAAATAATATACAGGGTGTCGTTTTTGAAAATGTAAATATATAATTAATATATCTACAAACCTATTGAAATGGGGTACAGTAAGCCGACATCAAATCTTCTCAAAACCCCAAAAATGAAATAACCTACCTATTCATTATTATTTAGACGGTACGAGTTATGTATAATAGTACAGCAATACTTTCATACAACAACTTTTACATTTAAAAGAGTGGAAAAGATATTTTGAAAATCTATATACTGCTGAAAAAGAGCCAGAACACTTTTTATAATCCATCTAGAATCGCAAAAGCTTAGGGTCCGAAGAAATTATAAATGAACTTCAATAAAATATATAGCAACACTCTTCAGGAATGACAATGTACTATAATAATATAATGTAATTTAAATTTTCAGCAAAAAATTCCCAATGATTAGAAAACGAGCACAAAACTACTCAGATTTAAGAAAGATCTAAAAACCTCACCATAAAACCACTAAATAGCAAACAAAACTTACAAAAGAGTTACTCGAAGAAATAGACGAAAGTAAATTAAAAATTAAAGTATTTAAGAGACGAACAACGAGGTTTTCGGAAAAACAGTTGTACCTTTGATTCCCAAAAATCTGCCATCAAAAATCGTCAACATTGGATGTCAGATGAGACAAGCGACAATGACTATTGCCAGTGACAGGCTTAAGGCACCTAAATCGAAATATACAGAGCTAAGCAAACACATTATACGATTGTGTAGAACAGATAAAAGTGTACATTAAGAAAAGCACAGAACAAATCGAACACAATACCAGAGATCGATTCTAGACTGCGGCAGATAAACATTCAATTCTCTCCAGGATCATGGATCAAAAATTAATCCGGAGAGACATTGACAAACGTAGAAGGCATTTTAGAAACTTAAGAAAGTTGCAGACTATCTGTCACGTTTGAATCAGAATTTCTTCATAAATAACAACGCGATGGTGAAAACCGACAATCAACTCTGTCTAACAACTGTAAAACAGAAAGAGGCGTCCCCCAAGGTTTTCGCCCATGCTGAGGATGGATGATTAAAATCGCGGTTGACGGGTAAAGATTTCTAACATTCGCTGCTCAGATGAACCATACCTAGCGCCCACCATTGAGAGGCCTTCGGAAAATTAGAAGTAGAAAGCAGGGCTTAGATTCAACTACTCAAAAACCAAAGCGATGGCCATAACGCTCAGAATAATTAACCAAATAGCCAACGCATAGGTTAAAGTTAAGGCGTTAACCAGGACGTCTATGTAGAAGCATTAATTTGGAATGAAGGTTAGTTGTTTATAGGACATTAGTCGTAGAATAGCTAGAAGAGCAGCAAAAAGTTCATGGTCGTTGAAAGCTGTCGACCGCAGAAAGATGGACGCATTTGAACTCTGGTCCTGGGGAAGTATATTGCGAATGCCATATGTTAAAAAAATCTAATGCCTCCATTGTTCAATAAGTTAAAGAACACCAAATGTACCAACGCGCTGAACTGACCAAATAAGGGCATCAACTAAATGCACTAATCTATCCCGCGCCTATTTTACCATCAATTACGAGAAACGCTTGAACGTGTAACCAAATTAGTTTGAAGGTCTGATACGACTCCTCTGTCAAGAGGAAAGCGAAGAAGAAAAGAAAAAAAAATGCAATCTGCATCTTAAAGCACATAATAGAAAAATCATTGACTCGCCATTCTTCGATTTGTAGAAATAACAACGGCATTACACCAACCATGTCTCTAGAACAATTTCCAACTAAAAAACTAAACATAAATAGAGGAATAAGACAAGCCGATTCCATCAGCCCATTTTCAATGTAATAATTGATAACGTTATAAAAAAACTGCCTGCAATATTGGGATATAGAAGAAACCCATTTTCATATAAGCTATGCGGATAACGCGGTATTTATCGCTGACTCAGAGAACAATCTACAACGTCTACGTCACCTTCATCACTATTTACATCAACAAGACGAAATGGATGACATCTAAACACCCGATAAGGTGTAAATTTGAAATTTATACGAAAGTCGTTGAACAGATCAATCAATTTAATTATTTGGATGAATATTTAACGGCATATAGAAATTTCAACGTGGAATCCAAGAAGCGGCCAAATAAACTCGTAAACAGAATGAACGACAGAAGGCCAGCAGTGGTTAAGAACAATATACCAGTCGGAAGAAGATCCAGAGGAAGACCGTCGAGGAGGTGGTTTAGTAGCATAAAAAGGCAATATCCTACCACATGGGACACCGCATTTAAAGAAAAAAATTAAAATACATATTTGGAGATGTAAAATAATCCCTCAGTAGTGAGGTACCCTTTTACCATATTATCTTGTTCGGTCAAGTCCATTGCCAAAACTTCTTCACTCTTAATAACGCACGCTACACGGAGCTGGTGACATCCAAAAAATATGTCCCCTATATTACACACCAGTTAAGAATATTTAACGGGGTAAATTTACAATTACAAAGCTAGGAGTTGAATTTAATTAAAATAGCAAACGTCCCATCTGCTTTTAGCAAAATAAATTCTAAGGAGGGAAGCCTGCAGAAGATAAATACAGTTCCCGCGAGCACAAGGACGTTTGTTATGCAGATTTTAATATTTACTTTTCGTGCTCCTAAGTAAGGTCTGTTAAATTTTTCTATATAAAACTACGGAAACTATTTAAAAGAGTAGCAGGAAATATTTGCTGCCTCCCGTTTTCTAGTGCTTCATAACCTATGAAGCATTCGAAATCTGCAAAGACAGGGTGTTAAAACAAACATGCATCAACGCTCTGGTGAATATTCATCATCTAAAAAATAGAAAAAAACGTTCAGGTCCCAAAAATTTTTAGTATCTAAGATTAATGTATAAAAAAGGTGGTCCTGGAATCCTTAAGTCATATTCTGCCTCCAGTTCAGCTTATTGATAGTGGTGATTTTCAGCATTGTTTTGACTGTAATTTTGTGAGACTAGTTTTACTGTGAGCTTTCATAAAATAAATGATTATAAAAAGACGTTCTGTTAATTTTTTTGACTTAGTTTCACGAAAAGGTTGTAGAGTGTGAAAACAACTTAAGACTAAAAAAATGTTACTTTTGGTGGCTTTTTCAAAGTACACAAAAATTTCAAAAAAGTTAGTGGCATATATGGCAATAATATTCGTTAAGAACGGCACTAAAAACAACAATTTTAAGCCAAATTAGCTCTTTACACCGAAAAATGGATTCTTTGCTTTCATTTAAAGAAATATGACATCATCTAAAGGTCAGTAAGCATTTGAACCGGCCAATCAAATTGAGGCAAGAGTCTACAAATTTGCCTTAATACACGCAGTAAATTTGACATAAAATTTTTATATTTATAAAGCTTTGTGGAAATGGCCCACGGTTTTATACGCTTCAACTTTAATTAATTTAAAAGAAGTAACTTTAACTTCGCTCAGGGTTATTAGAAAAATGAAATTATCACTGCTTTCGGCAGCAGATGACTTCCAGTGGGTCTTGGCTTGGCATACAGGTCATATCGGAAAAAAGGTGTATAAGATCTTGTGAAACTTCGTTTGTTTGACATATTTAACACTTTCTGAAGTTAGTGCTATATGAACGTTTTCCTTTTTTTTTTGCTTACAAATATCCAGCTGAACGCTAGCCCATGTTTTTGGAAAAACCATATAATAGAAAATCAATTTCGAATTATTTTTGCAAGTACGTTTTCCGAAAAACGTTGAATATATGTATTTGCCACTAAATCAATAGTGTAAAATTTCAAATCTCCTTTAATTTAAATGAAAATTCTGCACCACCAATGGTTCAAAATATAAAAGTAATTTTCAACATGAACCGCTTCTATCAACGCATCCATGAATGCATAGCGGCTATCTGCAATACAAACTACAAATAACTATCATAATTCTTGAGTTCATAGCAACTTACGAGTATCTCCTTAACTTCTAAAATTTTAGATACGAGGTGTTAATTTTTTGTCAGAAAAAAATCCTTTTTACATTATCTAAAAAACTGTTGAAATTTGATAAATGCATTTTGTGCATCGAGGGGCATTTTCAGATGCACAACGCTTTTTCTTTATTCGCACCAGTGGCGTACGTCCGCAATTTCTCTCGTGTATTTTTTTATGAAAAAAAAAAGTTATTCGAATCACATTTTTTGGCTCGTCTTCCCAGTTGCCATAAATATCAACTCCTGTGTTTTTCTTGCAAAATTCGCTATTCCAGTGAACCTTGAATAAATTATAATTTACAAACGTCATTGTCAAATCACTTGTTGAGTTAACAATTGAGTTAAGCTAAATTAATTTTTTGATTTATTTTATTTAATTTTCTGTCAACGTAAGAATGCGGGTACGACCATGTCAATAATAAGACGTTTAGGACATAAGTTGGTATGAGTTTTTTTTCTTAAAACGATCTCAAGAATCGTCACCAGATATTGTTACTGACTTTTCACACTGTACAGGAGATCATTCTAAGTGTCTCACTCAAAATTAAATCTTTCCTATTTGCTATTTTCAAGCGCATCGGTGATTAAGAATTACGATATATTTGTGAAATATCAAAGATACGACCCCATCTTTGCAATAGATTAAGCAAACCCTTGTATAGTTTTGGCTATGAGTGCGAATTAGATAATATCAGGTTTTGGTTAGTTTTGGTTAGTTTCAATTTAAATACTGTAAACGATCTTGCCTACAATAGCGTAAAAAAAATCTATTCTAAACTTATTTGCTAAAATTAAACGGAAACAACAATAACAACATAAACAATATTAATTTGTTATTTTGTTCACTGTGATAGAGTTTATTAAATTTAAGCTGTATCAAACTGCTAAGATAAGACAATTTTAGTCAATTGAAACCAAGAATACCTCCAAGTACATATTGAAAAAAAAACAAGTTTTGGAACGGGGTCATAACTTCTTATTTTTCAATTCGGAATACATTTTATATCGAAAATAACGTCTTTGACATATGACAGATATCACCTTCTGAATGACCGATTCGTCTTTCTTTAGTGAGACCCTTAAACTAACACTGAAAAGCAAGATGGCATCAATTTTTGACATTTGAAAGATATCACCATTCAGAATCACAGATTTCATTTCCTCACCCAAATTTCAATAGAAAACGTGTTTGAAAATTTGGAAATAACAAATAGGAAAGATTCTATTTCGAATGAAAAAATGATATTCCTGTACAAGCGTGAAATTGTCATTTTTTATCAATGTTAACTAATTTTAAATGGCTTTAGATAAAATATATAAAATATATGCATGTCGGGGTTGATATAGGCGCGTGAAGCTTAATAGGTTAACTAACCCACCTTCCGATTACCCAAGATCCTTATTAGCGCTTTCTAGTCTCAGTTACCTTGTGAAGGCCCTGCGCAAGGCGAATATAATCCACTCAACCGATCGCTCGAACGGTCTCTTTGTTTGCAGAGCGGTGTTCAAGTAATTAACGCTCGGAATACGAGATAAATTTCCACTTTGCCACACCTTAATCAAATATCTTGCAGTCTGTAGAAGCAGCACCGTATTTTCGCCCTCGTACGTTACCATGGCGGTCGCCAGTCCGTAGAGTATTGGAAGATTGGACGCTTGCATGTAACCATGGCCGCCGCAAGCCAGACGGCATATTTCAATTCCGGCTGCAGCGTCGGCACTTGTAATGGCCTTGAACACGCACGACAGCGAATGGAGCTGGAAAGGAGAAACTCCAATAGTATGCCAGACCGATGTGTGTGAAGATTGATGCATGAAATTTTTAAATTTCCAATATCCCTGTATTAAAATGGTACAGATACTCAACTGAGAGGTGTGGAGTAATAGAACCTCATTAGGTAATGCAAAAGGACTAGAGAGTGATCCAACAAGTACTTAAAACACTTTCATCGTTTGACGTTACATAATTCTCTTTTTTTATCGAGTAGAGATAGTTCCAGATACACTAGGTCACAGGAAAAGATCTACTCGGATGTGTTATACGTAAGTTTTGCCGAGCAAATCGTAACGTAATGACTAACGACGAATCAAAATTGTCGCTTTATTCAAAGCGGCGAGAACCTTAAATTTTGGAAATGGAACGAATTGTTCCCCAAGACACAAATATACAGGGACAAGTGTCATAGTTCTAAGTTAGTAATTCGGCTTTCTCAACCGAGGTAACATAGAAAATACTTTTTAAAACTTAAAAACAGCAATTACGCAAGTTTTTATTTCGAGTGAGACCACATAAAATGATGTCCCTGTAGATGGTATCAGATACCCTTATTCTGTTTGTATGTAACCATAATACGAAAATAAATTATTACAGAAATTAAATTATAAAGAATCATAACATCCTCGGTCATCTGGGTAACTGCCATCTCCTCTTGACGTTATGATTTCGGCTCGACGGTCTCATCGATCAAGTACTCAAGATTCTATATTTTCTCCTCTTCTTTAATAACATTCTGGACTGCTTTAGTTCAGAATTATATGACGACTATATCTTGCACGGCCTATTTCATATGCCGGCGTTTGTGTCAATTTGCTACGTGGAATAGTTCTTTCTCTACCAAATTGTATTCAAATTCAATATTTCCGGTGGCTAACCATTTTTTTACCAAGAAGAAGTTAAAGTATTTTCTGTGAGTCTTGAATGATAGGTTCCGTTATTAATAATTACTACTGAATCAGCGGGAAGATATTTTTTTTATGTCAGCAAAATGTTCTTCACAAACATCCGAATTCATGTCCTCGTGGTAATCTACCATATGGCACTAAAAAATCCCTCTTCGCTTCAACTATAGATGATTATTAGTCTCTCTTTTTTTTAATGCACCTTAACACCATCAGGCCTTCCATTTTTGGCACTATATATCCTTCGTTAATCCACGTCTCATCAAAATAAAGGATTTCCTTCTTCTGTCCTCAATACCGATTTATACATTTCAATTATTTTCGTAACCATTATAGTGTTGTGTAAATTGTTCTGCCAATTACACTTTTATAGTTGAGTTACGTGCTATATCCAGTCTGTGTTTGATTTCCTGAGTTATCTTAACTAACCAAAACTAACATTGATAGGGTTGCTGATTGATCTTGTCCAACTTTCTCATGGACTAGTCTATGTCCAACATCGGAAATGGAAGGACCTCTGAAGAAGCTCGCCACTCGTGCTAGCGAAACGTAAGGAAGTAATTCCAACCGACGACGGCCTTTAAACCCGAATCAAGATAATAGCTAATCAACGGGCCGCGAAAGCCTTAACCAATTTATTTCTCATGATTTCCGTGAGTTCCTCTTCTATACTAGTATTAAGGGGTTGGCTATACAACTCAAAACAGCAATTTTTTCCCTCTTAAGTTAGTCTCTCTTGCCAGCTTGGTAGAACTTTTCTCATTATATATATTGAAAAATATCCGTGATACAATGCAGCCCTGTCTTACACCACAATTTGGTCTAAAAGACTTAGATAGCCTGACCGTTGGCTATCACTCTCCGAAAGCTGTTTTAGACATTTTTAAGTAAAATAATCATGTCCTGCTAACCCCAAGATAAGCCACAATTTTTCTCACTTTACACAGTCAAATGAATTGCTATAATCGACAAAGTACAAATACGTTTTTAGATTAATTTTACATGGTATTTGTGTTATATATCTAACAATATTATATATTACAATTTTCTAGCAATCTGACTTTTAAGGTTTATTATTATTGTGTCAAGGGCGCGAAAATACAAAAAAAAGTAAACCCTCAAACAAAGGCAATCTTATACGAAAATTATAAAATATGTTTCATGGCGGTATTATTTTATAAAATTTTGTACCTATAATTTGAAAAAAAAAAAAAAAGAATAAATCGACCAAGAGAACATGTTAGAAAATACTTCCTAAAATGACCGCTTCCTAAAACTTTCTTATATTAACGTTACTTGGACTGAGTGGAATAGTGGTTTAAATGAGGAGCTCTTAAAAAGGGCTTTTTATATCAACAAGCGTAGCGAGTGCTTTATAAACAAAGAACTGAAGAAGTTTGTCAACGTATCACGTATTACGACCATTTTTGACAAACAGCTCGAATACATACTAAGTGACATATCACGTGACCGCTAGAATTGACAATTGTCAAAATACAATGGCTAAAATCTACAAAACATCGAATTCTTCCCAAACCTTACTAAAAAACCGATAATGTCCGAAGGGGCTGGCGACTAAGGCGCAACGCGGTGATTTGCACACGTATGATCAGGGTATTTTATAGTAATAACTAGAAAAAATTGATTAAGCTTAAAGATAATGTTTCAGTCAAGCTCAGAAGAAGCCAACAGGATGATAGGGGAAACGTCAGCAAGTTCAACTCAGCAAAAACCGACGCAGGGGGAATCCAGAATTTTGTAAAAAGTACTAAAATTCGTTATTTACTTTCGCTACACTACAATTTGCAATTAATTTATAGATTTCTGTTTTGATTGATTTTTCAGTGTTTAATTTTGTTAATAATGGCCATTTTTTGGTAATATCTCAACAATTACCGTAATTTTTGCATTACACAATCCTCTAGTTAGATATCTAACTGTTGAGAAAATCTACAGGGATCTGCCAATGGTTATGTTTCGTAATGGTGCCAACATTAAAAAACTATATATTTAACGTCACTGTTCCTTAATGTCCTATTTTTAAAACAAATGTGTTAAAGGTTAGAAAAGCTGCGGCATAACTCCCAAATTATCCTGCGGTTCGCACGTCATGGGTAGTTCAGTATATTCACGGACTGTCCTACTGTCATAATTTCACAATATATTAATGTTAATCGTTTATGATCAGGACCTATATCTAGCTCGTAATTTAACAAACAATTAATGTTAATCCGTTAGGATCTGTATCATCCGCAGTGATTGATATTAATATGTATGAGACAAATGACATAGCATGTTTCCATCCCAGTGTGGTGTTCGGTCTTGTTTAGATGGTTTACAAAACATTATGACTAAGTTATTTTTTTCCATTGCGAAACGTAGCGTTATTTGCATTATTGCGGTAAAATGTGAAATAAAGCAAACTTATGAATCGATAAATACTTTTTTATTTTAAGAAATCTACCACAATTAATAAGAAGTAAAAAAAAAATCTTAGGAAGGATGAAACAAACTGCAAGATTCATGTAATTTCTTCTAAGATTTTTCCAGCAATTTCTCATTGCCTCTTTGACAGGCTACTCTACTTGGTATAGTCGAATTAGTGTTCGGTCGTTTATTTCATTCAACGATTTGAAAAATTGAACTTTAGGCAACTAATATTTTTTCAATTTCAGGGAAATAGTTGCCCAGTTAGGCAATGTATTGACTTTGCCTTTAATGTGGTATAGTAAAAACGACGGATTTCGGAATAGATGCGAAACAATGTCCAGATTGAAACCAGACATCGTTTCCAGCTGTGTAGGATTACCAATTTAGCACGATTTTCAAGGCTGCTTCGGGAATAAAACATACCTCTGGTAAATTCTCGAGCTTTCCGGTGTCCAATTCGGCATTGACTTCATTGTACACGTTCCAAAGCCAGTCGCCGACATATTGGAATGCGAAACACGTAGCGATGTATGGAAATATTTTTTGTTGTTGCGTTCGGTAATCCATAATTTGTAATTCAACACTGAAACACACAGGTGTTTTGAGGTATTCGGGGTCGACATAGAAGACAAATCGGATGGATATAATATACATTTTCGTTCGCCCATGCTGCATGTGATATAGTAGTCTAAATATATGATTTTTAAGAAGTCACAATTATTTTATTATCATACGACCAGTTCTCAAAGTGCTAAAAGTAAGAATTGTATTTAATGTAAATGCAAAATGGGCCGAGATGGATTTTGGCGACTAGTTTGATACATACTCTCCCGGCGCTGGGTAAAACAACCGCCATGACTTCCTCTGCTCACATCTCAAATGTGCAATTAAAGGAATTCGCAATACGCAACCTACGCAAACATACCCATCTTGTGTTTTGACCATTTCTGGAATAACTTGCTGAATAACCTACGTACGTACATACGTATCATAAATGAACTTAATCTGACTAACGATATGTTAAATATATCACATTGCTCACTAATTTTGTTATAATTTTGAACTTTTTTGTATATATTCCTATTATGGACGAATTTGGGACTCGCGGGACTCTAAAATAATTACTAGACTGGAGAGATTGATCAAGTCGATCTTGGTATGGAGGATTTTATATAACATAATAATACTGGACGTGAATCTTCGCTGTGAACGTAGAATTTGCTAAAAATTTGCTTATTCTCAATTCCCCGTTTCAGATAACTCCATTCTAAAGTGCAAGAACATTAAAAAAATACTCTGTACTTTTTCTATCTCATCAATGTGAACTTTATAAATGGGATACGATACTATAGATGCATACTTCAGTCTAGCTCTAACCATTCAGTTAAATAATATCGTGAAAGTTTGTAAAATGTAAAATGTACTATTATCATTATTATTATTATTATTATTATTATTATTATTATTATTATTATTATTATTATTAATAAACCCCGACATCCTCAAAGCGGAATCCTTGATGCTGGAAATATCTTTGATAAATGAATGCGCGCTGTCAACTACAACCCACAGTCTTACATCTAGGGATTGCAATATTATTTAGCATGTAGAAATGCAGGTTACGAGTGAAATTGAAAACTTTACATTTAGAAACATTTCAACTTTGCATCATTGCTGCCCTTGGGGGCTGATCGACATAGAAAGCACAATTCGTCAGCAAACAGCAAGAGCAGCTTTAATAGCAAACAGTTTTAATAGCGGAACAGAGCTTTGTTCTTTGATATATTCATGTAAATCAAGTCCACTTGAGTCGTCTTATCTAAAAAATTAGTCACTGTTGATCTACAATCAATAAAACCGTGCTGAGATGTTGAAATTACGTGCCTTACTGCGCGACAGATTTGGCAAACAAATTGCACAACGTAGATATTGGCCTATAATTCAGCATATCATCGGAGAACAGGACATACTGGGGCTATCTTCCAAGATTCAGGAAACTTTGCCCTGACAATAATCAATTTGAAAATTTTTCGTAAGGGGGACACAAGAATAGGAGTACAAACATTATGTGTTTCAGTTATATATTTCAACATATTCAATATATACAAATAAACGAGTTCCTGAGCTCGTCAATATAAATAACCCCAGTTTAAATTTCAAGAGAAATACTGGCAAAACTAATGTTTATAAATTAGAAGAAATTTAAAAAAAATTTCCTTCCAGTAATATATTTAATTTTGATCACCCCGGTGATAAAAAGAATTGACACCATGCGTTCTATACAGAGACGAACATCCATATAATATATTGTTATGCATGTTGCTCCCAAGGATCTCGTAACAGGTTTCCCACCCAAAAAGAAAACAATATCTCTGTATTGCAATATTTTTTTAGCACGCCCTATATAAATATTTTAATACAAATAATACTTTTTGGAAAAGCCAAATTCTTTTTTGTTATTCGCGTTTTGCGATACTTATCTTTGTTTACCAAATAATCGACTATTTAAATTCATAACAGAGACCCTCATAGTAAGCCCACAAAATTATCATACAGATAGCATCTGTCCCTTGAGAATTCCAACGTTTTTCCCCCGCTCCAGGCAACAATGCATAGAATCACCCTCGGTTTGCGTGTGTCCGATTGTCATATATTTTGTTATTTATATTTTCAAAGTTAAGATGGATTTTGTCACATATGGATAAAACTATTTTTATTCCGATTTATGATAATGGAAATGGGAAAAATATTGGGTATCTGGTTCAATAATACCAAAGATTTAAATTTTAAGGGGCGGCAGTAGAGGCAACTTTTTCAAACAACAATAGCAACCTAGAAAAACCTAAATTCACCAAAACTAATTGCTATTTTTATTTATTTACTTTAATTTTTGCAATATTTTGAGAGTTTTTGAGGCGATCCACATTTTTTCGAATCATATTAGTCGATTTCAACGAAAATAAGTGATAATACTATAAATTTGACAATGGGTAGGGTTGTCAAGCCATAGTAAGAATATTAGGCTACTGGGTAAAGATAACGAAATTTTATTTCACTTCTAAATATTTATTGTTTGTTAGCATTATTCATATTTGAATTAAATTTCCCCATCTAGGTGATCCTTTTATTAGAGCTATCTTATTTTTTAATAAGTTATGTAATCAAGTACTGTGCTTATAAAGAACGTAACAAGTCCAAAATTTCCTTACCCTCTTTTCGCTCCGCCCTGGCGACGAACGGCACTGTATCGCGTTACGATTGTGACGGCCCTTTTCAGATACCATGCCGATTGATAAATTATCAATAATCGCACAAAGAGCATTGCGTTGTAAGTCAAAGCCCGGTTTGGGGAACTGACGTACGTCCCGTCCTAAAAGAAACTTCCACGTAAATCACCGCTCTATGGTAATAATTATTTATATATTTATTAGCAATACCAGTAATACCCAAAACAATTTAATTCAACCAAAGTAACATATCATGCTGCAAGTTTGTTGAATGCCGCTTTAGTCAAGTCGCTTATTGCCAAGTTTTTTTGTACACAACGGATCGGATCAGGTAGTTTTATTGCACGCAGTAAACGGCACCATTTATGTGCGAACGCACTATACAGTGTGATATTGATGATACGATAACTACGGCTGTAAGTATTTACTTTGCAAGACAATAGAAACCCGGAAGATGTGATAATTTCACCAAAAAGTCTTGGTCTTGGGAGTATAACAGCGTTGCAAGATAAAACATTTATATTGAGATTATACGACGAAAGGAACGAAAGAGACAAAATCACAAAATACAAAACAAATTGTAAAACAATGCCTCTTTCCACTGCTCCCGCCGCGACGGTGTTATCTTTAGGGAATAATTAACATGTTAATGCATTATTCTTTGTTCGGGAGCTTATAGAATACGTTTGACATTCCGTCCGTTAACTTTACGCTTCTTGCTTAATTAAAAGACCGTAACAGGCCTTGCGGAGTAAGTAAAATCATTATCTAAAAAAAATGTTGACAGAATATTTTGAAAGGAATTTTTGGATTTATCACGAGCTGTCGATATTTGCATTCATCCTGTTGAAACTAAAAATGTTCATTCAATCAACCCCAAATATATGCAAGGGTGACTTTTGACACAAAATTCAAAATTTGTCGGAAACAAACATCCTAAAAGTACAAGTTAATCTAGACAACTTTTTTTTTTAAGTTTTTTTGGGTTCTAAAATCCCATAATACTGCCACCCCGCACAAAATTTAAAATTTTGGGTTGGATAGTTTAATTAGCTAGTTGTTTAGTTACTTTGGTTCTGAGTATATGTTGCAATCGAATTTTTCTCGATAGTATAATTCGACATGCGTTTTAAGCAGCTAAGCTCGGAGAAATCGATATTTTTCCATGCTTTTGCACTAACAATACCAGTAACTTGTCGCCTACCATTTTTATGGCGTTCTAGATAAGCTCGTTAATGACATTTTGCTAGACCATTTTACATCATATTTTAATTCAATTGTTGTAATATTCCGAAAACGTCCGAAGTTTCTCGGATCCATGGGAAACGAAACTGACATGGACACGCTAGATTGCTATATAATTAGGTATTTTACAGAAGGGAGTAGAAAAAGTTTTTAATGATTTAAGATTAAAATGCGTCCCAAAACGGACCATCGGAGGAAGTATTCCGTTTACTGGATGATATACTATTAATGTGAACAGACTCTTCACGCCTAGTTAGGTAGTTTTGAAAACTGAGCTCTGCAGGAAAGGCTCACAGAGCACTGTCGCGGTTGCCTCACGCTTATTTGTCACAAGCACTCTGGCTGATTATTTTTATAGTTTCTTGAGTAAGCTTTTAACCAGTTGTGATCAGCGAAATTGATCTGTCATTTTAATTAGATTAGCATGGTTGCCACCTCTGTGACTTCAGCAATCTTTAGCCAAGAATTGAGCTTCTTATTGAATGGCTTGGAAAAGGATTTGGGATTGATATCTTCTATCTTTGATATCTACTAACTGTATAATAATAAGTCTATAATAATTAGATGCCACAAGACCTCGTTTGCATTAGTGTTTAAATTATGCTATTCGTGTTAATGCTTTCTTTTTTCGTTTTAATACAGGATGTCTAAAGTGCCATTTATTAGAAAAGTTTTGAATTATTTTCCTTATGCTGCCATTTATTCTTTATTTGAGTAATTTGTTATTATGTGTTTGACTTTAAATTTTTGTTCCTACTTCCACGCTCTAGTACGTATGTATGTAAGTTAGTAAACCTTACCGGCAAAACTTGACTGTGCCTCATTAACATATTGGCTCTCGGTATTCTAACCTTTGCGAGAGCAAGGAATCCTTGATTAGTTCCATTCATACCCAGTTTGGGACCAATTTCGCCGATAGTTACGCCAGGCAACGGCATGTGGGTTTCTTCGTCCCTAAGTTGGACAACGAACGTGTGAACACCATAACGTTTGCCGTTTGCTTCTAGCTGAGCGACCAAGATAGCGTGATTAACGGTGTGACCCACTGAAATAATTTCCATTGACTTAATAATAAGAATATAACACAATAAAATTAGAAAAATATTAATAAATATTTCATTACAATCAAAACAAAAATTAGACAAACTTAACAAATGGATAAACGTTGGTAGTAGGTAACAACAGAAGCAATGAAAGTTATTTGTTTGTGGTTTTAGGTATTTAATATAAGTTGTGGTAGTAGTAAATTTAGTTTTAAATAAATTGCTAAAAAAATCTTAGAGGTCGTTATTTTAGAAATCATTTAGATTGTTTAAATTGTTAAACATTTTTTTTTTCGTCATTAAATGCCTATGGAGCAATGGACGATATTATAGAGTGCGCAAAATAATTTATGCTTCTTTGTCCATGGGTTTTATGAGTAACTGTTGTACCAGGTGGAAAATTAAGAACCACATTCGGTCTATCCCGAACAGTAATTGTCGTAAAGACTTGGAGTGAAAAAAACTAACGAATGCTGCCAAGTTTCTAGAATGTCCGTAACGGGGCTTAATGGCACCACAAACGTACCTAAGTACCAAGGTGTTAAAATGGAAACCATTAGCAACAGAAAGTGGTTTGCAGGTTTGCGTTAGCTATTTACGTAAGTCAGTTTCAATTAGTAATGCTTTTTTAATGCGTTAATAATTACAATTTTTAAAATCACTATTTTCATTTTTAGGTACCAAAAAATTTGCGTTTGTTTGAAAGTCATAGACAATGTAGACATAGACGATAAAAAATACAAAATTGGCCATTTTACACCTTTTATTTATTAGCATATTCCTATGAAATGTAAAGCTATAAAATTAATTTATTCGCATGGACTGTCCGTCTAAAAACCGATTTCTCTTGCAGAACTTTCTATGAACTTTGCTTATGAGTATTGTGGTATGGTTGTCAAACAGATAACTGTGTGTTTTTTTAAATAAGTTCACTTTCAAAAGCAAAATTATGGCTTGGCTTCGTGTGCCTAGTAAGTCACAAGTAATGGAAAGGGAGGTCGCTAGCTGATTGTACAGCGTGCTACGGCTTTCATGACCCAAAGCGGCCTTTTTATAAAATGAAAGGTAGCGTAAATGCAAATTTGATTGTTATATTGAATTTTTGAGATGCAGGTTGATTTTTAAAAATAGATTTGCAGCTCGGTTATGCGTTTACTTATCGCACAAATTTTGTTTTTTTATAATGGAACATAAAACGAATTTCAGATACAAAGTTATATATTGAATTTTTTATTTTATTTTATGAGCAGGCTTTGGAGAAAAGGTGTCCGTTTTCCAATATACTGCAGTTGTCAATCAGTCGTGACATTTCGTAATTTAAATTCTGATCACCGTCCTCTCCTTTCTGCTATTTCTCAATTAACATTAACATTTAATACTGCACACACACACACACACACACACACACGCACGCACACACACACACACACACACACGCACGCACACACACACAACTTTTTTTAAAGAATTATGTAAAAAAATCTATTTTTCATGGCGTACTCCTCAAAATACTTAAGATAAATCTTACTTGTTATATATTTTCGAAACGCTAATGCCAAGCGTAAACATAATTATTAGAAAATGTAGAGGGCGTTCCATTAAGAAAACACAAGTTTCAGAAGTAAACTGACTCACCACTAAACCATATCCAGATCAGTTTTTACCTTTTCGATAATTTAACCCATAACCGTGCAACTTTTCATTTATTGAAAAAATAACCTTGGACATTGTAAGCAACACGATAGCGTTATTAACTATCAAAAAAGAGACACCCCGGACAGACATTATTAAACAATAAATGAAGTATCCTGTGTATTATATATGGTTCTCACAAATACATAAAAATAATAATATTGTGAGATATTGAACATTGAACTCCTCTTTGAAAAATCGCAACATCAGAAATAATGCATCCACGAACTCCCTCTCCTTATTTGATTAATACAAAAATGAACATTTAATTGCCTCTTTTACTTACAATTTTTTTTTCATCGTCTCATATAATAGGAGCAGCGCAACTCTATATCATTTCTTTAATCAACCTCAATAAACCTTTCACCTACGCCTCCTCCCCTTGTTATGCAGAGAAGTTTAATTCTGGCAAAGCGGCGATGAAATAGTAGTTGGTGTATATTTCGCCCATCTCATTAAAACTTCCTTTTTATGAGGAAAAAAATTACTGCTGCAGTTCAATTACTCTACAACTAATAGAGAGAAAACTTGCGAAGGTATGTTTAACGAGTTTTCGAGGTGGGGGTTGACATCCGATAGAAAAATTTTCAGTAGTTTGCAGCATGGAAAGGAAAAAGGAAAATCTTCTCCTGTGTCCGGTAATGATTTGGTGTAGAGATGCAGGGCGTTAAGCTTTTGTACAGGTTAGAGCGGTCAAAGAAAATTGTTGTATTTCGTAAAAAATATTTAGATGTTTTCTAGCACTGTAGTATACGGTATAGCAAGCTAACTAAATAAAAGATAAGACGGGCTCTATCAAATTAACATTACGATTTCATACATGAAATATCTGTACGGTGTGTCCTATTTTAAATGTTTTACAGCGTACATCTTTTATTAATAAAGCTTGCATTTGCTCGGTTTTCTTGACAGCGTACATCTTTTATTAATAAAGCTTGCATTTGCTCGGTTTTCTTGACAGAAAACTGCTACTCTATGAAATTGCAGGTACCACAAACATTAATGTAGTAGCTATCTTGGACTTCTCGGTATAAGTTAATTTAAACATTTTTAGTTATTTACGTAGCATCGAGTGGCGTATACTCTACTTCGTAAATCGCGACAGTTAGAAATCATTATTGAACCGTAAAATCTGGTCTAGTCGCATTCCATAAACGTAGTATTGTAGCCATGACGATTGCCGAGGGTTCCGGGAGTGGAAGGTAGACGGACCAATTGACCCACCTGTGCCTTAGTGTTTAAAATTAGAATAATAGTTATGCACGAGGATAAACGCAGCCCTATCAGGTTACCAAAGAGAAGTAAAGGCTACTATTTAAACACTCGTTGTACTTAAAGAAAGAAATACCCAACTTGAACTGTAAAAAAAACTAAAACCCAAAATCACTGTTATTGGACACCGTTCTAAAAATGCGGATGGATTGTGAACGTGCAGTAAGTGTGTAGAGCTGTAAATGAAATAGAAGAAAGAATGTAGGAAGCTGACAACATGATAGGAAACATTATTTCTATGATATCCATACATCCATCCATACATTTCATCTGACTACTCATATTACTTTCGCGTTACTTTCATTTTCATTCACATTCATTGCTTTCATTCACCAAAATCGTAATTTAGTGTGACCCTAATTTAGGACTTATTCGAAGTGTCCAGTTTTTAAAATCTGAAATGCGGAATTTATAAGTATCGATCATTTCAATTTATCAGAATTTTACGACGTCACATTTAAGTTGTTCACCCCTCTCATTGCAAATTTACATCTCATTACTTTCTGGAATTAAGAAACGAAAGATGGTCATTTTTTTTCTTAAGCGCATAAATAATTTTTAAATAATTTTTTAATAATTTTATTAGACTTTTTATTAGCTTTTCAAAAATATAAGACACAAACTAATAGAACAGACGGCAAAAATGAAAATTATAATTACGAAAAGTCAAATACGCTGCTTGACCACTAAAGTTTATTAGGAAAACAGACACCTTTGATGATTTCTAGTTGAAATAACTCTGTCATAAATATTTTTGAAAAGCTCAATACAATTATGAAAAGAAGTACAGGGTGTTCCATTATAAAAATACACAAATTTCTGAATCAAAATTTGTAATCAAATCAAAAATTGTAAAAAAAATACTTACAACCCGCTGGCCACCATTTATACGCTGATAGGGTAGGAGTATTCAAAACGAATTCTTCCGTACTGGGATCATAAGTAGCTGTAGTTTCTAAGCCCCGTACATTTGTTCCATGACCGAGTTCTGTCTAAAATATAAAATATGTTTTGTCATAATATTAACGGGTTACATATTAATGGGTTACATAGAAGAACGAAAACAATAAATAAATAAAAAAATAATAATAATTGAGCCAAAATTGTCCAAATAAATTATTATTTTTAGTTAATTATGAACCACGATAGGATAATTAACAGTTACAATTACACACTAAAAAGTTCTTTTCTGAGATTATTGGTGCTCGCAGAAATCCAAAACTCATAGTAGATTTAAGGTAAGCCATTTAGATAAAATGGATGTAGTTAGTTTGCACTTACCCTTACCCTTAAATTTGTTAACCATTTTATTATTGTAAAACAAAAAAGCACATATCATATATTTTTGATGCAACTAGTAAATATGACATCAATTATCAATTAAATGAAAGTATCGCACTAATATCCCATTTTACCACGAAAGTAACAAAATTGTGTTTTTATTTACCAACCACGTATATACACTGAAATATTATCGGGGCGGAATCAAATTTGCCACTTTAACAATTAACAGATATGTACGTACTTGTGCGTAAGTTCCAATGATTTGAAAATTCGACGCCCTTGCCAACCATTTGGCTTGTTGATCGGGAGTCCCTTGTCCTACTATTGTTGGAATAAACATACCATGATTGACCAAAATCGGATTTGAGTCTAAAATAAATTCGGCGCTGATCAAAAGCTCCCTACAAATAATAAGAAATATCGATTGCCGGGAAGTTTTATTTACTAAAAAAACAAAGTGTATTCAAATGGACAAAGGTATGGAGAAATGAAGACTATTAAATTATAAATCTGTTATTATTAATTTAACAGATTAAATCAAAACATTTTCTCAAAGTCATGAAGTTTGTGTCGGCTAGAGGGATAATTTATAGTACCCAGAAATAATAATTTCATTGCAAAGGAGTGAGTGTTTTTGCAACGATAAATTCTTTAAAAAGGACAGATGTCACTCAAAGCCCACTTCGGTCCTGCCATAGTAACAGGTAAGTCGTCGGGGACTACTTCTCTAAAAATATCTCCGAAAAAAATTGCCAATTGTCATATCGATATTATTGTAGTCCTTTTCATTGGTTTTTCTATCTACTTCTTGAGTGATAACAACTATTTTGTGTATTTTTGTTAACAAATATTTAATCGAAGTTTTTCAAGCTTATATAAAGGGTAAATAAAAAATTTTGTTTTTTTTTGTTTTGCACAGAAATTTTACAAAATGTCTATGAATATTTTCCTGAGAAAGTCCAGTATAGAAGCTATTTTGGTATATTTGGGTGTGCTGCAAAATTTTTCTTTTCTCTTTTTCCAGGACGCCCCAGTATGCAATAGCGAAACTTTTATGATATGGTATGTAGGTGGTATGTTATTCTGCTAAGATTTACTTTGGTGATCTAATTTAATGAAGATCGGTGTGCAGTAACCCATAAAGATCCTTTGTCGATTCAATGCCTTATCAACACGCTTGATTATTTATAATTAGTAATTACTACACTACGATCACTTTCTAAAGCGTGCCGAGTTACATTTATACCTAATACATGTTCTATAAAACGAACAATTATTCAATGTATTTTTGGCGTACATTACATCCCATTCATTAAATTAAATTTCATAGATGCCACTTCTCTCCACAACATATCAATTTTATCTTTGGGATTGTCCAGTAAGGTTTTCTATACAATACAACCTTTGTTTCTTGTAATTGTGTATTTGGAAAAACTTATTACAAATTTATCGGTGGATAATGATCCTTGCTAAAAATTAGTAACCACTTGTAGTACCTTTTCATTATATCCGTTAAAATTACTTCGGACCTTATTCACTCAATTGTACAAATGTTCTATAATTAATGAAAACCTGATCGATTTATATACTAGGAATTGAAAATCACCAAATTTGTGTTAAACACAATGAAATAAATGAGATGTGTTTTTCAATAGGCATCGCTCTCCAACTTATCATGATTTATGATAGCTAATAGGTAAAGAACAGAAGAACAGGCCCTTTGTTATCTTCATGCCTACTATTTAAAAATCATTTTGCATTTGCATTTTTTATTTTAAAAACAGCAAATAGCGTGCATCTATTTATAAACCTTGTTTTAAAATTTCGCATGAATAGTTTAAATGCGTTTTTAGCAAACATTGTTTGCTGAAAATAAATGTTATACATTGCATTTTTGTTTGATCTTGCATTTCACTTTTTTATTTAAAAAGCAGTGACATAAAAAATTGCAATTTAGACAACCATCATGCTCACCAATCTTCAAAACCGACATCATAATCGCTATTTTTTCCCATTATACGCATATTTTAACTGAATTTTAACTGTTGTTACTATCTTTCATATTTTTTGTCAAAAACTAGTAGCATTTCTTCATTTTAGGACGACTGCTAATGTGCTTTTAACATGTGCCCTAATGTGCCACGAGAAATCCAATTGATTGATTGGGAAGTAATGGAGTCATTGCAAACAGAGAATATTTTTACTTACTTCGTAAGGTCATTTAGATCTCGTTTTCCTTCCTGAAGTTGGAAGACCTTTCTAAGTATTAGCGTGCTTCGCCTAATTGTTTACTCGTACTTCTCTTTCGGATTTAAATTCGAATAATTAGGTCCGCTGAATAGTTCGGGATCACTCAGGATAAACTTTTCTGCAACACAGAACGAATTTCATAGAGTGCTTAGAAAAAAATATAAAATATATTTTTTTATATATTTTATTACTTTTTAATTAATAAAATATTTTAATTAAATAAATAATTTAATTTATTTAATAAATAAATAATTAATTTTATTAATTATTTTATTTTATATATTTTATATAAATATAAAATATATAAAAATTAAAGTATTAAAAAATGCCATTTAAAAAACACTGCACTTGTACCAACAAAACGTTTCGTTGAAAGAAAATGGTTATTCTGAAATAAACCCAATAATCAATCAATAATCATCACCTTGGACATCCTGTAACATAGTGCTCAAAGTTCGCCAACACTATTAACCAAAACAAACTAACCAGTCTGCGCATCTCCCGCAGTACTTTACAGTAATTTTTAAAATTTGATGTCATTGTGGAGAAAAAAAAACTCTAGGAATCACAATCCCGTAAAAATATAGTAAAGTACAGAGGGTTCGAGTTGTGCAAATAATAATATTATTATTGTTGTTGTTTAGACTTCCTAAATTTATTTTTATTTACAAGTGTGTCATATTTTCAATTTTATTAAGGCTTCAATTAATAATATATCTTTAGATAATTATAATAATTTAATTTGAATTTAAGTTAAAAGGAAATCGGATCCGAATTCAATTTTATTTTATAAATATATGCTGTATGATCTTTTTATTAGGAAAAGTGATGAAAGAGACGGTAAAAATATAAGAAAAGAAAGAAAAAGCATATTATTACTATTAAATATGTTTATTATTATTAGTTTAATATTATTAACCTTTTAATATTATTAACTTTAATTTTATTAACTTAGTGAGTCTAAGTCTAGACCGTCAACATCTGTTTTCAGTTTATGTATTTTCCGTAATGGGGCGTTACGTCTGTTAATATGGTTTTTAAAATTTAGTTTTTCATCCAATGTTACTGATAGGTAGATTTCCTTGGATTTACTTAGAATAATTTATAAGATTTTGTAAAACTGGCTTATGGTGCAAAAGTGCTGGTTCCGTATTATTAGATTTTGGAATGAAAATGAAAATAATAAAATAATACTAAGGTCAAAAAGGTTAAATTAAAAAACAGAGTTATATTTGTTAACATAACACTCATCAGAGATGGTATAATATTAGATTCTGATTTTATTTTATTTGTAAGGTAGGTTAGATTATTACCGTGACTTGGGAAAGATTTTATAACTGTTATTTTACGACGTTGGCAACTTCAAAGCATATTAGCTATAGTACACATTTACAAACATTTCTTAAAATATTTGCTAGATTACAAACGAGCTAGCAGAAGTCAAGGTGCCAACAGCAACCTTGTTTAGGCGCCAGTGAGACGAGAATTCGTACATTTTAAAGTAGTAAGACATGCGAATGATGACGTACTGTACTGTACCGTTTCCAATGATACTAAAATTCATTTAATTACTAAATAATTTAAAGAATACATCCATAGAATAGGATTTTCACTTTACTTGAAAGTAGATTCAAATTGGTGAAGGGATCTGTGGTTAACCATCCTCTAACCAATAACAACCATTTTGAGATTTTATGGTCATGCTTTACCACCTGAAGTAAAATTGATCCAAAAGCTTTGTGTGTTAGTTTTTTTTTTGCCAACTAAATAAATAATACAGTAATACCTTAAACAAAAGATTGGTGTCTTATAAACATTACAAGAAATTATTGCATATTAAATGAATTTGTTAACAATGGTAAATTGTTAACATGCGAACTGAAGATTATTGATAAAATCGTTTTGAAGACGATTTTAGTATAGTACTAATGAGCCAATAAACTCACAATTTTTAATCGGGTGGTCATTGCAACGTAATACAAGACAAAATCATCAGTGCGCTACTCCTACACATCGTTTTGCTTTGTTTCAGAGCATTTTCTGATTTAACACCATTACATGAATGTTTATCATATTATTATCATATCCTAAAAATTGATATTATTTTTTTTAATAATAATAGTAAATTTTATATTTAAAAGTTCATGTCTAGTAAAATAAGAAAATATACACTGCAGCATGCAAAACCATGGGTATATTGGGAGGCAATTTTATTTGCCATTTGAGCAGATAATTTTCTACCTTGTTTTGTTTTCGAAAAGAAAAATACAGTTTTAAAAATTAACAAATTGGACCATCAAGTCGGAGGAAATCGCCGCAAATTCGAGGTAATCGAGCCGCATTCTCAAATCTCTTAATGGGACGTCTCCGTTGGAATGCATTAACCACAATCTCGCACGTTCCATCTACTTCCAAATCTCCCCTTTTACGACCTTTTCCCCTAAAATCGTTCCGAGCTTGGCTTATGACTTTTTGACAAATTATTCAGCGTTAGACGGCTTTGGGTTTATTGGTTCAATAGAGACAGGAGCTTTAACAATCGGCCAACACCATTTTTTTTCTACCGGTGTTTATTGCTTGACCTTCGAATCATCCGGAAAAGAATATTTATTTGACTTATGGGCACATTGCCAGCTGAATTCACGTCATGAACATGGGTGTAGAGAAACTATAAATAGGAAAGTCAGGCAGGGTGTAAAGTAATAATGTTAAATAAGTATATGTCTTGACCTGGACAGGTTCAGAACATTAAAAGATCTGGCCGAACGTGATAAAATTCTTCCAAAGAAACACTAATTGCACCTGAATCGCCTTGTGAAATTGAGTACAAGGCGCAAAAAAAGACAAGTCAAAAAACATTAATCCTACTGGGCTCACCGGCCACAGATAAAGCATTATCAAATGTTTTTGGAGGCACCAGGCAAAGTGCGACACAGAGCAACTTAGGCAAGTGAGACGAGCCCGACCAAGCATATTCAAAATTTAGGACACGTTGATTAATACAACATAATAATATGGTGAGACAGTCCTGTAGTGATGTAGGTGAGGTAGGTGAGCCACCTCGTATTTTATCGTTATTTTGGAATCAATGTTTAAGGTAAGCAATTTCTTATAAACATTTACACAATTAAGTGTAGACGAGGTTATAATATGATTGCAGTTGAAACTTATCCAGTGTTTATTGAGTGGAAGAGAGGAAACTTTGAGTGGGCAGTACAAATGTTTCATGTCGAAAACTATCAAGAAAAGAAAAATAAATAAAAAAATACATGTTATTCTCAAAAACTGCCTCACACTATTCAAATTCTTTATTCAATACTACAGCTACTACTTGCGGATTCAAATCTTTTAGTTTCCTTGTGTTAGGATCAATATGATACTCATAATTTGAACTTGAAGCATAAACACATATCGTTTAACCCTCATAAAACACCACTCAATGAGAAATTTAAATTATGACAGAATTCCTCGTAGCCTCAAAAGTTTATCTCTTACAATATGGCGGGTAGGGCACCCGCACACGCTCTTTTTTTCATTTTCTTTTCTCTTCTTTTGAATTTCTTGCCTTTTAGTTGCATATTGCACGAGCTTAACTAAGAATTAACAAATAATCAATATCCGGTAATTGTAGGTTAATTGAGGAGGCGTAACTTCGCCTTTTATGATATGTTCCTCTAATGTATTTACAAAACGTCATATTCCTAGTATCATTATCATTATTTATAATATTTATTTTTTTAAATATTAATCGAAACTATATAGTGTCATAGTTACGTAGTGTTCAGTGCACAGGAATAATAATTTTCATTTGATAGGACTACCAGATAATAATGTTTGGTTCTTGCCAGGAAACTTCTTGCCGTTTAGAATCTAATTTTGTACAAAAAAATTGATAACGCTTTTTATCGAATATTTCCTTAAATTATATTATAATTATAAAAAATATATGTAGGATTATGATTTTCATTTCAATGTTATCTGCAGATCGCAGCAGACTTAGCAGATCGGATATATACATGTAGAGTGTTATTGGAGAATCGATTTTCAAATCTGCTGAGGCGACCTTGAAAATATTTACCGGCAATTTCCCATGATCTCTCTAGTCACATATTTTTCCACATGTCATAATATTTCCCAAGATACTTTGAAAAGTACTTCTTTGTCAAAACTATTTAAACTTGCTTAATTCATTACTATAGCTGCGTTTTCACAAAAAATTCTCTTCGTTATTTCGGAAAATTTTATTTAACCGTGTGGTGCGGCAACAGGGGGTATTTGCGATCCCCACTTAAAAAGTGTGTTCGTGAGTGGGGAAGACGGGCGGAAGACGTGCAACAGAGCGGAGTGCTACTTTTAGTAAAAGCTTGGTTGTTTCCAAATTTTGTACCTTATTTACCGCCGTAGAACCCACAACACGCTTTCTGGGATTTGAGAGCACATCAAAGGGACAGACATATCGTACCCTTCCTTTAACAAAACTATAAAAAACTGAATCATTTATAGAGACCGACCTGTACAAAATGAAATAACAACCAGCGGACACCTTCAAAATTATCTTTTAATCTTTTTATTTATTATTTGACAGTTACGTCCCCTAGCGACCATCGGAAGAGTATTCCAGCGTTTCCTTTTGGTTTTTTACTAAAAAACTTGGTACCATTTTTCGTTTATTATGGAATGACACCTAATCTTAGAACCTTAGAGACAAAAGTTGTTTGGAATCACTTATACTTTTAAAATATTTTCTTGCAATGTATACAGAATATATACAGAATGTATACAGAATATCCGGTCTTTTTTCTTTGATATAGAATACCGTATAAATCAAGGTATTTTTGAATTGGTGGAAAAATTTTGAACACATTTCATATTGCCATTTCTGACATTTTGTTTGTGATATTTCTCGGACTGAAGATTTTCGAGGTTGATTTCATTCCAAAGAAAAATATCTCATTTTTCCAGTTTTATCGTATGTAATATTTAAAGAATTAATGACTTTGTCTATATCAGAACGTTGAATACATCAAAATAATTATAAATAAAACGTTTTACCAATTTAAATATACTATACGGCTTTTATGTTTTGCCATTAATTGGCCATGACGATAACTGCGAAACATAGCAGCAAAAAAACCATCGAGCACTTCAGAAACGTCACCATTTTGGGTTAGTGGAAAGTTGGAAATTAATGTTTGCCAATTTAATGCTACCTAAATTATTATTGTTATTTTAATTTTCGGTAATTTCTTCCTCTCAATAAAATGTCTTCCTAAAAAATAAATGATAGAGTAAATAGTAATAATAAATAACATAAAAAGTAATGTAGTTTGTTATTTGCAATGGTCAAACGAAAATACAAAAAAATATTTTTTTTATTGCTAATGTGTCGAAATCTACCAACTTTTACGATTTTGCCGTTTATATAAATGACTCTAAAATTACAAAAATAAATAGAAGAAGAAGAAATAAGAATTACTCTTAAAAATTAGATACTTAGGCTAGCGCATTATATACGAAACATGTCTACAATTTCCCATGTTAATCGAAAACGTTCTATTTAAAATTTTAATAAAAATTTACTTGTCTATGACAATACAAGTTTTTTTGCTAGATAGACCCTGCGATAATGTCATCCAATAACTAACGGGCCATCTGGTACTTGGCTAAATGGAAAATTTCGAAACTTCATATATAAATAGGGTTTCAAACATAATCGCAGCATATTAGGTAGTTATATGTATATATGGCACTTATTGTAATCATTTCATTACCTCTTTTTCTCCTACGTGCGGTTTTATCTACGCCTCCGTCCAACAGGTTAGTCAGTTCATCTATGTTAAAGCTACATTTTTTCCTCTCCCCGATCAAGTCCGGATTAACTTTGGCCATTTTAATGCGGTTCGATTTTCGGAAGACGTGGTTCCTATTGCAAACCCGTTTATGAAAGCAAATACACACAAAATCACATTCGAGTGTTTGCAAAAGATAATTGACTCGCTAATAGCCTTTAAATAGACAGCGTTGAAAATTTATTTACTAGCACTCGTACGAGGATCGATCACGAAATAATGATAATTGTATAAACAACATATCCAACTTAGCTGGTAAACCTTTCTAATTATTACCAGGCGTCAATTAAATTTAATTACGAAATAAAAATTTAAAATTTTTTATGAAGCAATCAACTTGTAACAACACTTTCATTTACGAATGAAACTAAAAATAAAAATTTCCAGACCCACCAATTTGTTTAATATTTTTTGCGTTTGGAATATTTTCACTTCAGAACTTTTGGAGTTAGTTTAACAAAGTTTTTAGCTTAAGAAATTGTTTATAGACCATTAAATGGCCTTACGAAAAATTTAATATGCAACACGTTGATAAACTTCTTCAGTTTGCGTGAACGTATTTCCTTAGTGACAAACGAAAACATCCGAACACTCCCAAACTAGTGATAATTTGGAATTTTGGAGTAAAGAGAAGAAAAAAGTGTCTAATGTTTTAAAATGTCATCTAAAAATATGGATGCCTCTACATACAGGATGTCTAACCGCGAAATTCGACGATCTGTTATGGGAAAACTGTTAGTTGCAAAAGTTCTGGATGAAATATTTTCAATATGGCGGCATAATGAAAGTAGGTATCAACTTTCTTTATAGAACACCCTATAGATTCTCGATTCCCTCCGATTCTCCGAAAAATTCAAGTCTCATTTCGTTTATAGCATCTAAATTTTACTGCGTCTTAAGATATTTAACATTTTATGAATGTAAGCAGCACACCAAGCACAAAAAAAAATCAAAGAAACTTCTATAGCTACTACTATTTTAAAAAACTTATACGACAATATCTCGAAAACGATAAATATTCGGAATATACAACCTAATACAATACAAACTTCACAGGATATTGTATTACTATTTATAAACACCCACACAAGAAGAATCCAGAAGAATTTACAGATATTTTTGACATATATTTATATTTAACATTTAAATATCTCAGAAAAATCTCAGAAAAATACAAAAAAGGAATAATATATAGGACGTTCCACTTAAGATAAGAAAGTTGATATATCCGGATGAACTGCAATCTCAAAAATTTTAATTTAATTACAAATATTTACATTGTTCCTGCTTATAGTTTTTGACATAACACATCTACGAAATTTGACCGGGTTGATTCCTGTATGAAGTTTCACATAAATTTATGTTTAAAGGCTCTAAATTTTACAAAAAACTTTTTTGAGATGAAAGCAATAACCGAGTTACATTTTCAAAAATATTAATTAAATTTATATTACAACTTTATTGAACAAATGAAAAGCATGACATTAGATACACAGGATATTCTTGTTAGTTTCAACCTAGAAGCCCACTGTACTAAAGTTCCTATTCCTGAAACTCTCACCCTCATTTGAAATATATTAAAATCCGAAAATCTCGAACCAAACTCTCTCACATTAATTGAAAAATACTTGCCTGGAACATATTTTTCTTATAACGGTCAAATTTTTGAACAAACGTCGGGAACAGCTATGGGTTCTCCACTATGACCAGTCATCGCGAATATATTTACGGAAGCGGAAGAAAGCCTTTGAAAAAGTTCTCGATACCTTCCATCTAAAACCAAAATTATGGCAACGCTACATCGATAACACTTTTCTTATTTGGCGTTATTGTCAGGAATTGCTAGTAGATTTTCTTAGACATTTAAACTCTATACCCCTTAACATACGTTTTACCATTGAAATAGCATAACAACCTCCCATTCTTAGATATTCTTATCAATAGAAAATCAGACCTAACTTTGGGTGTCCGAGACAGTGTTTATGCCCTTCATTTATTGCCGCCCCCTCAAACAAAATAAAAGTAGGTGAAGAGCGAGAAAATAATTTTTCCATAACCATCTGATCCAAGAAAGTGACAATACTCTATAACTTACCAATACTCTGTGTAGGTTAATACAGGCCAAACGTAAAATTTTTTAACACTATGAAGTCAATGGTCGATGAAAAATTAAATATCACCCCTACATTTTTCTCCTTTTTTTGGATTAAGGAGAAGAACCTACATATGATTTGTTAATAAATAGTATTGCGTGTGTCGATTGGTGATAGAAATAATTCGAAATGAAACTTTTTCATACTTGTCTAATGGCAAATAGTATTTAGTGCAAGGAACTTACCTAGTGTTTTTATCAGATAGCACCCCTGTGGAGACAAACACTTGTTACAACATTCTGAAACTAAAATTTTAAAAAACTGTTACCGGAACAAAAAAAACAGATCAGATCATAAAATGGTCCACAGAATGCAGAAAAAAAACTCGAAAAGCTCGTGCAGTGCAATAAAAAACCAGAACGTTTTTTTTTAAATTTATGTGAGAATCGATTTTTCAGGAAGATTGAGAGATTTTCAACAAGATTCGTTGTCGATAAACTTTGAACTGTTGATAGAAAAAACGTTTGAAAAATACCTAATTACACACAGATCTTACCACGTCAGTTTCGTTTCCCACGAATGCGAGCCACTTTGGACATTTCCCGGATTTTTCCGCAAGGATTTGGGCGCAATCGGATGTTTTCGGAGATATTTTCCACGCTTTGAATTTTGACTTTTGTCAATTCTGACGGTCATGTCAGTGAATCTCTTCGTGTTGTTTTGCGAAAATGTACCCAAAAACTAACGGTCATAGAAAAAGTATAGTATGCAAGACTTTCGGTAAACCGCATTTGACTCACGAATTTATTTGACACGAGCGGAGCGAGTGTTTAATAAACGAGTGAGTTAAAAAGTTGTTGCATAATATACTAATTATATGCTTTTGGAATACACGGAATGCAGTAAATACTCTCAAATAACATGAGCACTGCAAGTAAACCTATCTATGTAATGTATCTAATCGACTGTGACCACCATATTTACTTTTCACAGGCTGTCTTCATTATCTATAAGAAAAAAGAATTTTGTCTTAAGATATCCAAATTTATATAAAAGGCGCTACCGTGAGATGATGATCCAAATCTATAATACTGCTATTTGAAAAAACTAAATTATCCAAGAAAATTAATTAATCACATTAATTACACATGCTGCTTGCTATTGTACAAGTAAGGAAAAGGTTTATACGTATTCGTATTTACATATATACCAACGAACTTCCCCCCAAACCAATCACGAGGTCAGATGCTTCTGATAGAATGGCTGGTGTTCCACAGGGAATCATTCTGGGTCCTCTTCTTTTCATAATATATACCTCACAATTTGATAAAGATTAGAGGAATTGTACTAGCCGTACTTAGGCAGACGATAAACAATTGTAATTTATTCCTAAAGTCATCAGGACCTTGAAATGCTTTCTCGGGTGCCAAGGGACCATAATTACAAATAAACCCTTCAAAATCGATAGCACTTCTTTTTTGTGGCGAAGTAGTTAGTATTACTGAGAGCATGTCATTAAACATAAATGTTATCGATCTACCTTTTCAAAATTATTCAAGGAATCTAGGCCTTCTGTGGAAATATTTTAAGCTTACTGTTAAAATTCCAACATTTAATTTAAAATATCAATAAAGATTATTAATCATTCAAAATTGTATTTTAATATTCAATCATATAAAATAAGTATTATTAATGTTTAAATAAAATGTTGCCACTTTAGTAGAAGATTTATATGTTTTTTGTACAATAATAATAATGAAATAATAACAGCTATATTGAAAATATTTCCAGATACCTCATTATTTCGAGTTTTTGTTGAAATGATACGTTAGGAAAGACATATCGAAATCAATCCACTCGAGTCATCGTTGCCCTTTTTAACAATTCTAAGTTTAACAAAATGCGCCCTGACCGCCACTCTAGAAATTTAAAAATAATTATTAGCATTTTTTCTTGGCCGCTTTAGTGAATTTTATCAAGTCTTTACAAAAATTTCTTTTCTATTCAGAGCCGAGTGCCTTGCCTTGCCTTGATAGGCCACCCGGTACATAAATAACATCCTGTAGACATAAACTTTTCCATTTATAGGTCGTCGAGTAACAAAACCCTCGTAAGGGCATGAATGGAAAACGGCACATGAAAGCGAGAGACTTTGACGATATATTTTGTAGTTAGAAAGTATCACGCGCTATAAATAACCGACATAAAGGCAACCTGCGCTTGGTGTGGTGTCCTGAGTCGTTTATCATATCGTCCCACAGCGCAATCTAGTCATATTTCACAATCAAGTTCGTCGCGCTTTTGGCGCGATGTTTTTGGGTCGTATCAAAATTCTATTATCGTTTACGTGATACCTAAAATTGATTTGATGAATGAAATTCAATATGCTTGTTTTCACCAACGAATATACAGGTTGAACCATTAACGGTTATTAAAAATACAATCTGGTAAACTTTGGTCCATTTTAGAGAAAAAAAATATATACCACCGCCTCCGCCATTGGTGCAACGTCCAACTTTAAAACACCATTTTAATTTGTTTCTGTAACCTTATTTTAAAATGTGTATAAAAATTGAAATCAATTTTTTATGTCTAAAATTCAACAAGTGCTACGGTTGAAGCATTAGCAGTGGCCAAAAAAACAATCTCAAAAACTTTCGTGAATTTTAGAGAAAATAATATACCAACAACCATAATTCTCGCCCATTGGAGTGTTGTTTTGCAAAATTTTATCCAAAACTAATGGGCGTAGAAAAGTTATAGTATACGACACGTTTGACGATCTATTTCATATCTAAGATTCACCAAATGTTACAATTTAAACATTAATGGTCACGAAAAATACAAAAAAAATTATGTATAGGTTTTATTTTTGGTCTCCATTTACTAATAAAAATACACAATACGCATAAAATAATGAAGAGTCAAATACGTGTTAATAAATTGTCTTTCAAAATTGGTTTCCTATCGAACCTCAACAATGCTATTTCATAAACTTTCCATAAAGATTTGATTTGCAGCAAT